AGTTCAATATACGTTTCTCAACCAAGATGATACTTAATTATTCGCAAGAATGCCACATACAAATGGCACTTAATACAATTCGATCGGACCTAAAAATCAGTATCTACCATACTGCAAAAATCTATGAGGTCCCTGAGCAAACACTCCATCACAGAATGAAGGGAATCCAGTCAAAAGCCAATACACGCAATGGATAATCAAGATTAAGTACAGCCAAAGAGGAGGCAATTGTTAAGTACATTTTTGACCTAGATTTGTGAGGATTTTCATCTCAGAGGGTTGATGTAGAAAATATGGCAAATCTTCTACTTGCATCATGTAGCACACAATGTATCGGAGTTAGCTAGACAACCAGCTTCATTACACGATGCCCAGAGCTAAAGATGTACTTCAACCATGTCTACGACTACCAGAGAGCTCTCCAAGAAGACCCTGTGATTATTGAGCCATGGTTCCACCTGGTCACCAATATGCGTGAAAAGTATGGTATTACAGATAGCAATTTCTACAACTTTGACGAGACCAGCTTTATGATGGGTGTAATTCAGGCATGCATGGTTGTAACATGCTCAGAATGTATTAGCAAACCTAAGTGCATCCAGCCAGGTAATCGAGAATGGGCAACAGCAATTTGTGCGATCACAGCAGATGGTTTTATTGTGCCACCTTTTCTCTGCATCAAGGGCCAGTTCTATCTCACTGCATGGTACTCTGGCAATCAGATTCCTAATAATTGGACCATCAAAATGACTGAAAATGGCTGGACTGATAATTCAACTGGTCTTCAATGGCTTCAACACTTCGATCAGGTCACAAGGGCATGGCAAATAGGTGCATTCTGGATACTCGTACTCGATGGACATGAGAGCTATATCAATGCTGAATTCAGTCAGTTCTGCAAGGAAGCAAAGATTATTCTGCTCTGTTTACCTGCTCACTCCTCATACCTAATACAGCCACTTGACGTCAGTGTTTTTAGTCCACTTAAAAAGGTATGTGGTGCTGAAATCTCGAACTTTACCTGAGCTAACATTACATATATCACCAAGGATGGCTTCTTTCCAGCCTTCTGTGCAGTCTTTACAAGAGTATTTACCTACGAAAATGTACTTGGAGGTTTCCGTGGTACTGGACTCATCTCTTTTGACCCATAGGCTATCCTCTCAAAGCTAGATATATGCGTCTATACGCAAACACTCCCAAGCTCTGCCCATGGCCTACCTAACCCTTGGATCCCAAAGATACCTCAGAACGCTATCGAAGCCCTTTTGCAGTCGACTCTTATCAAAGATCGAGTAGCTAAGCATCAAGGAAGCTCACCAACACCAATTCTATTGGCTGTTAACCAGCTTACAAAGGCTATAGTAGCAAATATCTATGAGCTAGCACTCATTAAGGGTGAAGTCAAGGCACTTCAGGAGGTGAATGCGACCCTTTCAAAGCGATGGCATGTGAAAAGAACTCGACTACAAGATTCAGGGCCTCTTACAGGCGAGGAAGCCAGCCAACTTTTGGTTCAAAAGGGTATTGCTAAACAGGAAGTGGAGAATAAGGGTATGGAGCTAGGTTTGTTGAAGTAGTGCAAAACAGGTGTGCGTACATGTAGCATCTGTCGCAAGTCCGGCCATAACACAAGGACCTGCCCAGAGACTGTAGATATCAATTCTTCATCAGATTCTGAGTCGTAGAAATTTATTTAATCGTGTTCTCATAGAGATATGATCATTTAAAGTTGGTAGGTCGGTAAAAGTGTAGCACTCGACCGTGTATGGTGCTCGATCGTGAACCACATTAGAAGGTATTAAAACAAATAAATAGAAAGTCTGCAGAGTATAAGCATATCCTAGAACGCCAAACCTAGGCCTTGTCACAGTTTGCCAATTCTTAGGGTCTTGCTACCTCCATTCTCCATTCCTTTGCTGGGTTAAATTCCGAAGAAATGGAAAAAGTAATCACTATGCCAACTAGGATATGTTTCCTTTCCCCTTCATTTAAGCAACCTTCAATCTGTCTTTCTGTGGTGCTACATGCGAGAAAGAGCGACTAGAGAGAGGAGCGGGTGCTTCGATGTCTCCCTTGGGGTGCTGATTTGTTTGATCGACTCTGGGATGTGGCAGGTCGAGCTCGGCGACTTTCAGCAGCATCTTGTGCATTATCATAATCTTCCAGGGCCCGAAGAAGAATAGCAGCGATTTGATCGATGTTAAGGGTAGGTTCGGCTGGTCGGCTTGCGCGTTGTCTCCTCGACTGATCAGATATCTCGAGGGCTTGGATGCGGTCCTCATGATCCACTCCTGGGTCCTGCTGCTTAACAAACTGCAGTAGTCGGCACCATAGCTTGTTTATGACAGGTTGGAAAAGTAGGAAAAGTTGGAAAATTTGGAGAAACAGCATAATGATAGCCATTGTAAGTCGTGCAGTCTGGTAGTCCTATATGTTGATGGCAAAGTAAAGTAATAATATATTTATTACTAAGTGAAAGAGAGTATAAGAGTTCTTTGGAGCTTCTTGATATATATAAATGTCGCCGTGTGGTTGGAAACTGCGAACAAAAGAGTACGGAAGGGAAGTGTAGGTCAACGTCAAGGTAATTATAAGAGCAGAGTGTAGGGACATTTACAGTATATGTAAACAGCAATGTTTGGTGGCATGTGAAGGCACGACTACTCTATGACATACTGTGTATTCACAGGTATAGCTGTGTTAGAGTCTTGAAATCGCTTTGTATTTTGTAGCTTATGAGGATCTTCAAAAGCCGAAGTTCTCCGCATATATAATCCATAAGAGAACCATTTGGAGCTTTCTTTTGAAGGTTCATTGCACCGACCGAAGGATAGGAGGCATCAAGATGAACAAACACAAAGCCTACAAGCACATCCCAGAATGCCTGACCTGAGTATATTGGCGCTGACACCAGTCTGCTGGCTCAAGTAAATATGCCTAAATAGATAGTTACCAGAACAGGAATTCCGAATCGGAATCTCGACCTTAGCAATTTTCCAGTTTTGGATGTGAGCAGTTGTTGTATCATCCCCACAGTTGCTGTTTGAAACTGATGACAAACTTGCTCACGGCACCTCTAATGTAATCTACCAGCTGATGCATGGCCCCATCTGATGCACGAATTCGGCCGATCAACACCATCAACCTTTTGGGCTATATCGCCTTAGATATATCGTAATCTCACCCAGTTTTCGAAGAACAGGTTGCTAATACTTATAGGATTAATCAAGCTTTATTTGGCTATCTATATCGCTCCGGAAGGGTGATTTTTCGGCCACGGCTTGATCGGGTGGCCATCAGCTCTATATCATCAACTGATGCTGCATCAATATCAATAGGCTTAGAAACTTGAGCTGCATGCTTGGAGCTCTCATGGACACCTTTTTTGGCCAACTTGATATCGGCTTGGAGTTGCCTCTCAGCTATACGAGTAATTTTTTCCTCCTCACACTTAGCTACTTTTTGCTGCTACTTCTGCTGTCAAGCTTCCTTTGCTATAGCCCTCATTTGATGCTTTTCTTCTAACAACCAGGCTTTTTCCTTCTTCTGCTACCCTCGTAATAAGGCCTATTCACTTTTCTGAAGCTGTAGCTATTCTTACTCGGCTTCCTTTTATTCTTGTCTCTCATGAGCTTCTTGTACCTTTGTAGAAGACCAAAAGACAGCACCACCATTATATTGCTGATCCACTTCAAGCAAGAGAGGCTTGCCATGCTTCCGATGCTTCTGCTCATTGATAAAAACTTCTTTAAGATGTTGATTTTCGTATTCTAATAGTGTCTTCTGTGTAGAAATATGGTGGATCATCTGAGTAAGCTTTTGTGAGTGTGTATTATAGATATCTTCAACAGCCTCCCTGAGTAATCGCTGTATCTTCTGCCAGTCAGAAGCACTGAGTATTGAGCTGCTTGAATCACTGGTAGTAGGCTTCTTATCTTGCTCTAATGTGAATCGCTTAAGTACAGCATATGGGTCGAATGGTGATAGCCCTATAGCTGAAAAAGCTGAGAGAATGGTCTTCTCTACAAAAGCTGCAGACCAGGCCCTCTAGAATAGCCGGAAGAAGTCCCTCTTAGTGATTAATATAAGCCCTTGGCAATTGCTCATAAAATATATGAGCTCCTTGGTATAGGCTGAGCTAAGAGACTTGAATAGGCAAACATCAAGTGGCTGGAGTGTATGGGTCAAATAAGGTGAGTATATTGCAAGGAGGATCTTGTTTTCGTCGCAGTATTTAATGAACACCATTGATATATGTGAACCATGGCCATCCAAGATAAGTAGTCGATATTATCATCTTGCCTTTGTCTTCATCTCTCGATCAAACACTTGTTTGAGCCACTGTAGGCCTAGCTCATTATTCATCCAGCCTGAGGATGATGCTGAAAAAAAAAGCCTTATGTATTGTAGGATCAAAATCCTGCAGCCAAGTGTCCTATATATTGCCAGAGACAGCTTGGTATATAAGCGCAGGTGTGAGGTAGCTGCCGTCGGTGCAAATACAAGCTATTATAGTAATCTACTCTCGATTACCATCTTGTAGTATTGCTTTGAGCTTCCCTTCATCATATAAGCTTCTAGAGAACACCCTCTTCATCCTACTGACTACACCAATGAGGAAGCCTTTCTCATCTATATTGTATATATACTGGGGCTCGACGTTGTACTGCTCGGTTTTGTTGCGCAGGAGCTTGAAGTATAATGTATATTTGAAGGCGCTGTCAGCCTGCTTGCGGTTGGCATCAATACCAGTCGTCCATCTTGATATAAGCTCATTTGAGTGGTGGGCCACAAAGCGATCAGCCCAATTCTTGCCAGTAGGTTGTCCAGCTATTTCTGAGGCAAAGCTTCTTATCATCTCTTTTGATGGGGGTAGTCCTCTTTTACAAAGCTTATTGATATATTGTATAAGCTCAGCTTCTTGCATATGGTTGAGTAGCCGGTGCTTGTCGTACTTTTCGCTCGCGGAGCACGTAACGTGTCGGTGACGGCGGGAGAGGGTAGATCGATCAACATTGAACTGGCGGGCAATATCTGTGTAAGAAAAAGTTGTGCCTAAGCCTAGCGATTCAATTGCTGCAATCGCAGCCTCAATATCGCCCATATTGATGGAGATGGATAGCGTTGGGGTGTTGTGTTGGAAACGTGCATCAGGTGGGGCCGTGCATCAGCTGGTGGATTACGTTATAGCTTGGTTTTTTTCCCTGATATACACACGGGACCTGAATCGAGGTTGAGTGCTAGAGTAGATCGGCGACGCGTCTACATATCCAGTCGGAGAAAAGTATTGAAGAAAATTCAATAAAACTTCGTTGCCGAACTTATGAATCTACATCAATCTTCGTAGAACCACTTATCCTCCAATAGCTTCGGTGCAGTTGGCCTATCTCTTGGGTCAAGTTTCATTGCTTTAAGCACAAATTGCTTATCTTCCTCACAAATCTCTCGCGCTGTCGTGAGATGGAAGGGTCTCAGCGTCTCTGGGGGACTATTTTGCATGATCCACACCAGCACTGCTAGTCTTTCCCGGTCCGCTATCTCTTCGTACGATGCTGGGAATGGTCCAAAGCACCGGTGATGCTTCATAAGAATCTTGACGTCGTACTCGTCATGGTCGACGGGGACATCGGGTTTGAAGATGTGGAACCCCTCACCGTACATGAGACTGATAAGCTGCATCGGCGATGGAAATTAGTCTTTGTATGTCTGACGAGGTTATCAAATACAGAGAGTAGTGAAGTGACTTGCCATTGTCCCAAAAGACCAAATATCAGTTGCAGTGCCCCATCTCATTTGCAGATGTGCTTCAGGACTCCTGAAAATAGGCGTCCCGATGGGGTCTCCATTTAGCGCGTAAGAAGAATGCATATGAACTGTGCTTCCAAAGTCGGCTAATTGGACCTCTTTAAATCGGGGTTCGCCTTGCCCGTAGTTGACTAACACATTACTAGGCTTGATGTCTACGATCTTTAGTCGAAAGCCCTGTAATGAACTCAAGGCTAATTGCGGTTGGAAGAACGTACCTGTGTGGACAAATCCGTCGCTATGCAACACTTTTAATGCCTCTAACACCCTTTTAGCGACATACTTCACTTCGGGTCGTGTAAGACGTTTGGTGTTAGAGGCATGCAAGATGTCGTCGTCAAGATATTTCAAAGCAAGAGCGGGAGGTTCGGATGGTTCTTCCATCTCGTCGAGCAGCGGGCGAATGAAAGGCGACCGGCTTTGGAAGCGCAGCAAAATGTCCCTTTCATTTTGTAGGCGGAAATGGCGGACACCCTTGATTATGACATTCTCTTTGTCTTGATTGCTGGATATTGTGAATAATCATTGCTTCCTGATCGTTGACAGAGAAAACATACGTTGCAAGCCAGATACACTCCTGTAGCTGCTTCGTAACTATATAGAGTCCTATTCTGCCTTTTAACGCCTGGCCAAGTTTTAACGTGACGGCCATGTCCAAAGTGCTGTCGGAGGAAAGTAGGGGTTACAATGGATCACCAAATTCCATATGTTCGATTGCGTCACGTGTACAGTCTTGGCTTAGGAGGCAGGTAGGTGATCTTCGTAATTCAATTAAAGGCGGATTCGGGCCCAACAGGCCTTCCTACTCAGACACGTTTCCATTCCCTCTCGCTTTCGTCCTCTTCGGCTGCTCCTTCGCTTTCGCTGCTTTCTGGGCCGCATGTTTCTGCCGCGCCCTTTCTATCGCCGTAAGGTGTTTATTGTGCGAAGGCTTCTCCGTAGAGTTCCCCTGAGAGTCTGGAAACGACTGGAAGCCGTCGTTGCCTGCTGTGTGCCGCGATTGCTTGATCCAGTCGCCTCTTCGTCGCTTGTACAGATCCATCTGCCAATTGCGCCAGACGGCTCGGCCGACGAACGATTCCCTGAGCGCGGCCTCGTTCTCGACTAGCTCCTCTGCGATGCGTTCCCTTATAAATGCCAGACCTTGAGTCCCGTGCCACACTGCGTCGATGACATGCGATCCTGCCGGGTCAAGTGCAAGGTCTCCAACATGGCCGTAAAACTGTTGAATGACCTTTCGTCGGAAGATGATCGAAGCGTTTGGCGAGGTCAACGCCGCCTGCAAAGTACGCGATGCAATCGGATCTCGTGCAACTTTCAAAGCCAGCGGAGTCTCAAGTTTCGCAAGAGAATCAAATATCAAGTCGGCCAACGGTCCCGGGACTGACATCATAGTTTGAGCGAGGAGGGACCCGTGTACCTTTTCTGGATGCGCATTGGCATTCTTTGGCTCCGGTTTCCCATCCTCGGAATGGGCTTCTTGGAGCTTCAGCATACCGGTGATCTCGAACCCCTTGGAACCGGCATAGGCAGTCTCCAGTTGTGCTTTGATATCCTTCATATCGACCCCTCGTGCAGCACATCTCTCGATCAGAGTTCTGAGAATAGCTGTTCGATTGCGTTGCACCAGTCCTGGTATTTGTTCCACGATTTGACGTTTTGCGGCATCCAAGTCTTCCTTGCTCAGTCTTTCTAGGATTTTTGCTACAACATATGAAGCTATTTCGTTCCTTGCCAGACTCCCCATTCGATCCTTAAAAGACTGTGCGTAGATGGCTTTGAACATCTTGCCAGGCGCGTGCTGTACGATAGTCTCCAGTAGCCGCGAGCCAATGGTGCTGTATACAAGTCCGTTGATGAATGATGCGCTTTCCGTTCCTTCAACGATGGGGTCATCTGGTAGAAGCCTACGAACGATTGACGTCTCGTCCTTGGCTCGGGATTTGCCAAATTGCGTCAGCTCGAGCTGCAAGAGAAGCTGAAGGGTTGGGTTTCCGGTCGGGTGTTCAGCGAGTGCCCGCAGAGTCGCGGAGTCCAGACCTGCTACACTGTCGCTTATGACTTTTCCTAGAGCATCGATGAAGGATTTTGGAACCACCCTCTTCTCCAAGGCCCATTCCTGGGTCTTTTCAGCCCCTGGCACGCTGACCTTCTCTTTCCTCTTGCTTTTCAAAGTCGACTTCTCCTGCTGCTTCTCCAAAGGCATGCCGGCGAGGACAACCAATAGTACCCGTAACACATGGGATGCGAACCGGTCTGTCATAAGGTATCCCAGGTATCCATCTAGCTCTCCAAGCGTGTATAGGAACAGGTTCTCCATGGAAACGTATTCTTCGTTTGGATCGGCGGACGCCGCTTTCACGGCTTCGGGCTTCGTGAGCTCCTGGGTAACGACAGGCGCGGCCTGAATGAAGAGGGCTTCACAACAATGCGAGGCGAAGCGGTGTTGGACAAGATGGAGAAAGCTAGGCTGGTCAGCGAAAGCGCGCATTTGGACTTCGAGGGTCCTACTCACTGGCCACTGAATATCTTGAACAAGCCTTTTAGTTGCGCGGGGGTAGAGAGGATAATCAGGCGCTCCATAAGCCGCGAACATGACTGACTGTTGGCGATCTTCAGCTCTTTTCCTTGAGCTTCCTTGTATACACTCTCGAGGAAGATGGACCGGTCTTCCGGGGTGTCGAATTGGTTGAGTTCAAGGAGCTCGTCGGCCTTTTTGAAGTACTCCTGCTCGTCTTCGTCCAGCATGCCATAGAAGGGCATGGCCTCAGGGCGGGCAACTCCATTGAGAGTCTCATCGTTGTACTCGGGCGCATGCTCGGCATATTCCTCTGCTTCGTCCTCGTTGGTTTTCTGTCGTTTGGACTCTGGCTCCTCGGCCTGTTCTCGCTTGCGCTTTTTCTCCTCCCCACGGCGACCGCGTTTCCTGTTCTCCTTGGGCATATTTGCAGCGCGGTGCAGAGGAACACAGCACCAGCAAGAGGGCAGCGCGATGGCGGGCGAAAAAGTAGCCGCCAGGATCATTTATCGATAGTTCGGCTATCGGCACTAGCCCGATTAGGATATGAACCGGACTGCACCTCCGCGAGCACCGCAGACGTCAATGGATGGATATTGAGTTACATCTGGTGTACAGCGCAGACAGTACGTTTTACAATTATTGCTTGTTATTTTGCTGTCCAACACTTGACCGGACGTGCCTCGCCATACAGTAGAGAGGTGTGCAAAACAGGTCTCGGCGCCCGCCTACATCTATCTGAATCAGGATCGCAGGCCGAACATGCCACCTTGACAGCGTAACTAACAGTACAAGTTGCAACCGAGTTCCGTCCGCCAGGGCTACTGCTCCTCCCGTACGCCGCCTAAATCAATCGTCTGCTACTCGCATTGGCCGCCGACATGGATGCCCGTGTGGTCGACTATCTGGACGACAAACTACAGACCGTGGGGGACCTCGAGTCACTTGATGCCTTACTGGAAAGCATTCACGCCCAGCAAGGCCTCCTCAAACAGCAAGTGAGGCATACACACGCACGCGGGCACCTACACGTACTGACCCTGCCAGCTCCATGATGCCCAGAAGGACTTGTCCGAGGCGAAACAAACTGCACGGGAGCATCAAGAATCGCTGCAGGCTCGGGTGGCGAACTTCAACACCCAACAATCCGACATCGACCGCCGGCTGCTGGTCATCACTGCCTCCGAGACCAGCGATGAAGCTGTCCCTCGCTTCGAAGCCGTTCTCGATTCCCTCCAACGTTTGGACATGGCAAATGCCTATCTCGAACTGCTTCAGCAGATCCACGAATTGAGGTACGACAGTCCCCGTCAGGCACCGTACTCCTTCGCAATCCCCTGTCGGCTGATTGTTAGCTCAGCGAGGAGGCGCAAATGCAGCTCAAGACCTCTAACGAGGCTGCTCTGGCTCCATACAAGCAGTTGCGCGTACTCCACACCCGCCTGATCCGTCTACAAGACGATGCCGAGGGTGCTGCCCCTCAGCTACTCCACCATGTACACCAGATCACACAGTCTCTGCGGAGTCAGATCCTGGATGCCTTCTCCTCGCAGTTGCAGACGGTTCTGAAGAAGATTCGATGGCCTAGACCAGATGCCACCATCCCAAGCACGCTGCAAAGTGAGTGGGAGATCGCCATTACCAACTTGCTGGACTTGCAAATCCCCGAACTTGAAACTATGGCCTACACAAAAGGTCCAGGCGACAAGATCCAGCTTCCTGCCGTCCTGCTACCTTTCGAGGTGCTTGTGCGGCCGCTTGAGATGCGTTTCCGCTATCACTTCGAAGGAGACAAGCCCACGAACCGAATTGACAGGCCCGAGTACTTCCTCACGCATATTACATCGCTGCTGAACGACTACAGCGGCTTCGTTGCCGATTTCATGCAGCCAATCCTCCTCAAGCGCTTTCGGGGGACGGAATTGGTTCTGAATCCCGTCTACATAGATGCGACATCCGCCCTCATTACCGCAACTCTACCCATGTTGAGGACGAAGGTCGGCTCCTTACTTGCGCAGGTTGCTAGTCAGCCTCATCTACTAAGCCACCTGGTACATGAAGTTATGGCCTTCGACACGACCATCAGGGAGGAATGGGGCTACGACGGCGGCTATGGTGTGGAGAGGTGGAAGGGACTTTCGTGGGAGTTCCTCGCACAAGGAGACTGGTTCGGCCGGTGGCTACAGGTTGAAAAAAACTGTAAGAGTGCAACTGTGTGAACATTCACTCTTGGGTACTGATGTGTCGAATAGTTGCACTTGCTCGCTACCAAAGTATCGTGGATGCCCCCGATTTCGGAGATCTGGACTACGAAAGCGTCGACCCCAAAGCCACAAAGCCCACCAAAGGTGCAATGCGCGTCAATGACTTGCTAGAAACCATTACAGGTACCAAACGGCTATCTCTCCGACATTGACTTGTAAATATTGACTGATATGGCAGATCGATACCGCCCTCTTACATCCTTCTCGCAAAAGCTTCGATTTTTGATCGATATACAGATTGCCATCTTCGACAAGCTTCATGAGCTTCTCCGAAGCAACCTGGAAGCCTACCTTACCATGACCACCTCAATCGGGCGGGCGGTTGCAGGAGTCTCCAAGGAGGAGCAGGAAAAGCTGCTGGGCGTCGAAGGGCTTGAACGACTATGCAAGACCTATGGTAGTGCAGACTATCTGGAACGGGCGATGCGAGATTGGAGCGACGATGTGGTGGGTAGCTACACCAATATTGCACAAATGGAGCTAATAACACTGTCAGTTCTTCCTCGACATGTGGGAGGAGCTCAATCACCGTGCTCGCCAGGCCCAGAACATCGGCAACATGTCTGTGGCGGACGTTGCCGAACGCACGTCCAGCGCCGTGGGTTCTGCAGAGGAGGGTGGAGCCCTCTTTGACGAAACCGCCGCTTCATACTCGCGCCTACGCATCCGTAGCGAGCAAATCATCACCGACACGTTGAACAGCAATGTGCGCGTGGCATTACGTGCATACCGGCAGATGTAAGTTCCCGCATACCAGCGTTGCGTCGTCCACGATGTTTACTTCTTTCGTCTTGCAGCAACCCTTGGGCCACCCTCGGCAGCGTCTCAGTCTCACCATCAGCGCACGCCGCGCCCTCACCGTCTGCAGAGCTCGACCCCCTTCTCGCTCAACTGTCAGCCACTTTTGGATTTCTATCTCGCGCTTTGGCGGCAGCTCCACTGCGCCGAATTGCCAGAGCCGTGCTGGCGACCATTTCAAACACCCTCTGGGATACAGTCCTGACGCGCCACCGTTTCTCGACGACGGGCGCTGCCCAATTGAACGCTGATCTTGCGGCTATTTGCCGCGTTGTGGATGAGGCAGTAGGGCATGGTGTTGCCGAGGCGGGCCTGAGGAAGTGTCTCGAAGGGGCGAGGCTCGTGGGGCTTCCCGTCAGGGGCGGGAGGTCGTCTTCGACTGGTGAGAGCGGCCCGCGAGGGACGACGATAAGGTCAGGAGTTTCCGCAGATGAGGCGGAGGCTGAGGCGGAAGACTGGGATGCTTGGGGGGCGACGGAAGCAGAGAGGGAGGAGGGGAAGGATGATACTGGCGTCGGCGTCGAGGGTGGGCGTACGAGTGGGGAAGAGGACGCAGGCGAGTTGGGCTTGTGGGAAGTGGAGAGGAGGCTGTTTGCAGATAATCAGAGTGCGAGGGAGGTGCTGGAGGAGTTGGGGTTGGAGACGTTGACCGAGGGGGAGGCGAGGACGGCGTTGGGAAGGAGAGTCGAGTTGGCGGGCTAGCAGCGGTATGTGCCAGTGACAATGCTTTGATGTGCGGCTTGGTGCTGAGAGAGATTACATAGGGTTTTGCAGTCAGGACCAGTCTCTTTTAAAATCCAAGATGCATTGCTAATGCCCTGCTTACGATATCCTCTCCTTTGCGAGGTTGCCTTCCGAACGACGCTCTTTAACCACTTAACTCCGGAATATCCACTTCTGCCACCTCATGTCCTCGCCGTATCCTGCGATCACGCTCCTGCCACTAATAATGTCGTTACTTCCTCTCACCACCCTCCCTCTCCCAATCCTCCTGCGAGCTATGCCACGGCACATCTCCCGAATCGCTCGTCCCACGCCACTTGCCCGACCCCGGCGGATTATACGCGTGCGAGGCGTGAACCGGGTCCTGCTTTGACGACGATTCTGTAGTCTGTGGATTCCCGAAGGGGCTCGGTCAGTAATGCGTTGTTCTCTCGTACAGTGTTCGCAGCTAAATCAAGTGGGTGGAACATGGAAATGAGTCTAGAGAAGAAGGGGATATGTTTGCGGGGCATTTGTATGTATCTATTGCAAAATGGAAAGGGGGATTATACCTCTTCTCCTCCTTTCATCTCGCTCATGGTCGGTTCGTCCTCCTTGAGGGCATCGTACGGGTTTTGCCTGGTGCCCGTGGGGAGTTTGCTGGCGTGGCTTCCTGGGTCGGTCATTTTGCTCTCTCAGAGATCTTTCAAAATGGCGAGTAGTAGAAAATGTACGGATGTGGAGGGATTTAGTTTTTACAACAGGAAAAGGATATCAGTTCTCGTCAATGTGGTGTGTGCATGGGGTTATGAGGGCGTGAAGGATCTATGGACTATGTCATTGCCCCGCGACCTTCGTCATAGGCAACGAAGGTCAGTAGATGAGCTGTGAATGACGTTTTGGAGCCGAGATTCCGAGAGGGTAACAGACAGTGGGTCTAGAAAGCTTACGCTTCGCAGGTCTTAGCATATAGGTATCTAAAAGGGGGACATACGAAGGGCTAGCTCCTTTGGGGCTCATTTCCCATTGCCTACACTTTTCACACCTTCCATGATCCTTTAGGACAAGTTCAAAATGAACCCTAACCAGCCCAGTTCCAACCAAAATCCCAGGACCAATAAGCCGCAAAATCAGCAAGGGGTGCATGAGTCCGATCCCAGCTATGGCGGGTTTGCCTCTGGGGCTGGGAGTGAACATCAGAAGCCCTCCGTCCATGTACGTAAGGTCTACTTATGAAATTTCAAATAGAGAAGAGCAAAGGGCATGCCAGTGCTGATGCAATCTTATCCGTAGAGAGCGGGAGAGCAGGAGTTTGAAAGTTACTTTTTCGGGAGGGACAGTCGGGATAAGGCTGCGGGTTCGCAGAGAAGAGGGGAGAGAAGTGATCCGGTGTGGGGGAAGGGTTGGTGAGAGATGAAATGGAGAGTCTGGTTTTCACTGAAGAGCAAGAAGAGAGGAGTGCTCCTGGGACTCGGTGAAATGGAAACGTGATCTTGATCGCCGTGATGGCGGATCCATGCATGAATATTGGTTGAAAGCGGTGAGTCCAAATACGGCGATCAACCAGTCGTTGACCATCTACAATGAATCGAAGACGATGTCCATCTCAAGCTCCATATCTCTACAGTCTCGTCGCTCACTCCGTGATCGATACTTCATCCCAAATAAGACGGATCATACGAATAGTCAGACATGGAACCCGTGCTATTCCGACGTTCAGAGTCCTCCTTTTGATGAGTAGACTGAGACCACGTCCCACTTTCTTCGTGCTCAGCTCCGTAGTTGGGATCCGCGGTTGGTAACGAGTGATATTTCTTGGATTGGAAGATGCGCTGTTGGGGAATATCTTGAGATACAGTGTGCTCTTTCGCTTTTATTTCCCCGGGCTTTGGTAAAGGGGTGGAGAAAGGGTTGGCGCGCATGTTGCGGTTGTGAGAATAGGAAGGATCCGGTGGCTGATGCTTGCGTATATAGGTAATCGTGTAGTAAGAGGCACGAGTGTCCTGAGCGCCAGTGAAGCTATGGCGACTTTCACGTGTGTCAATTGGCCGCTGATGTCACTTCCAATCTGATAGGCGGTAGGGACCATAGCACGGTAACATAAGCAGAGCTTCCAGCTTTGAAGACGGGGTCAGCAGACCGTTTGGGACAGGACCTTATACTATTTCTCGCAAGGACATAATAGGAGACTCCGAAAGCTCCAGTAGTGGCTTTTCAGGTCAATCGATGTGGTGATTCTTTCACCCCATCATTCGAGTTTTCTGCGCATGAGGGTTGGAAATTCGCCGAACTGGATCGACCAGCACACGGAGCCACTCATTGAGCATTCCAAAGCTAAGTCAGTTATCAGAACACTCGTGACCCCTTTGGGCAGGTTCCTAGGTTGAGATGGTGATGGAATCTCGCTGGTTGGTTGGTTGGTTGGTTCATTCATAGGCTATATGCAGAGGCTCAGTGGCCACGTAGCCGGAAACTGGGCACCGGAGCGTCGCCAGCCTGGTAAGAGGCTAACTCTGCAGCGGCTTCTAGGGGTACTAACCCTAAGTCCCTGGTTTTCTGCTTTAAAACTAGGTTTCTCTGCAGGGGAGGTGTCTAGGTAGGATGTACAGTGTAGGGTGTCTAAGTTAAATTTAAATCCGCCTGGTAAGGTCTTCCTTAGGCTAGGCTACCTAGAGTCTCTTCTTATACCGTAGCATTGCTGCTTTTGCCCGTTAAGCGCGCTTCTAAGACTTGGGACAGATCTGCAGGAGAGCTTAGGTTATACCGTTGCTTCTCTCTGCGCCCGCTCTTTAACTACTGTCTTTTAAGCACTAAGGGGTCCGCGGTACTAGGTTCCAGTGTATCTAAGTAGGTAGAGTAATAAGCTACTAGCTGTAGCAATTGTGTAGAGTTGTAAATAGATAGTGTACGTAGGGGTAGGATTCGTGCGGGCGTAAGCGGCGTAAAAATTCTGCTCTGGGCGAGGCTGTTAAGAAACTGCCCTGCGCGGCAGTTTTTCATTAATGCACTAGAATAAATCTTAGCAAAGTCGCTCTTCCGCTTTGAATAATACCTTTATTGAGGGTCAAAATAGTAGCTCTTAAAAAGTGTGGGTGTTCTGGAAGTTTGTGTTCTTTCGATGGAATCTCGCTCAGGTATACATATATACTTCGCAACGTGGTGTACCGTGACTAATCGCGTGACGCCCGGACTCGCGTGGTGCCCGGTGAACACCAAAATTCTCACATCTTCAACATGACATTGATCCATGAATATGGGCGATATTGAGGCTGCGCTTGAAGCCCTGAAGTCGCTGGAGATAGGTGAGATACCCAATTATGCGAAAATTGCAAAACAGTATGGTGTTAGTCGTTCAACGCTATCGCGGCGTCATAGGGGGGTGCAGGGTACCCACACGGAAAAATGTCGCGATCAATGCCTCCTCAACCCTACACAAGAATCGGAGCTTGTATCCTATATTGATGGCCTCTGTAGCAGAGAGCTTCCTCCTTCAAAGGAAATGATACGCAATTTTGCATCAGAAATAGCTGGGAGAGAAGCAGGCAAGTGTTGGACTGATCGCTTTATACACCGGCACCATATCGACTTAGTATCTCGATGGACTTCAGGAATGGACTCTGCACGCCACAGAGCAGATTCGGCCTTCAAATACTCCCTATATTTCAAGCTCCTAGAGAAGAAGATCGCCCAGTACGATATTGCACCCTGCCATATGTATAATATGGATGAGAAGGGCTTCTTGGTTGGGGTGCTCAGTAAGATGAAGAGGGTGTTCTCTCGACGCCGATATGAGCATGGGGGTATAAAGTAGCTCATCCAAGATGGCAATCATGAGTGGATCACGACAATAGCTTGCATTTGTGCTGATGGATCCTCGCTCTCACCTACCCTGATATATCAAGCTGTATCCAGTAATATACAGGATACATGGCTCCAGGATTTCGACCCTTCAGAGCACAAGACCTTCTTCAGCTCATCACCCTCGGGATAGACGAATAATCAGATAGGGCTAGCATGGCTGAAACAGGTCTTTGATCGGGAGACCAAAGCCAAAGCGAGGAGGTCCTATCGCCTCCTTATCCTAGATGGTCATGGATCTCATGTTTCGATGGCGTTTATCAAATATTGTGACGAAAACAAGATACTCCTCACTACATATCCCCCCCATTTGATCCATACACTCCAGCCTCTCGATGTCTGCCTATTTAAGCCTCTCTCTACTGCCTACTCAGTCGAACTCGCAAGTTTCATGGAGAGATGCCAGGGTATCTGCTCTATTACCAAAAGAGACTTCTTTCGCCTCTTCTCCAAGGCTTGGATAACCTCTTTCAAAGAATCAACAATCCTGAAGGCTTTTGAAGTTACTGGTTTATCTCCACTCAATCCTCAGGTAGTCCTCAAGAAGTTCACTATATCTGTGGATGATAGAGATAGGCCCTCATCTAGTAATAGTTCAACCTCAGTATTGAGTGCTTCTGATTGGAGAAAGATTGAACGGCTCCTTCGTCAAGTTGTAGAGGATATATATGATACTCGGGTTAAGAAGCTTAGTCAGACTATGCACTCTTTGGCAGTTCAAAAAGCCCTAACAGATCACAAAAATAAATGCCTCAAAGAAGCCCTTATCAATGAGAAGAAGCGTCGGCAGCGGGGTAAGCCTCTACTACTTGAGGCGCCCCCTGAGGATAATAGGAGAGCGTTCTTCTGGTCACCGACTAAGGTGAAGGCAGCCCGTGAGAGGCAAGAGCAAAAGGAGGCAGAGGAGAAGGCAATTCAGCTTGAAAAAGATGAGGAGAAGAAGCGCAAGGAGCAGCTAAAGAAGGATAAAGCTGATATGCTTGAGGAGAGGTATCGTATGAGAGTAGTGGCGAAGGAAATCAAGCTGGAAGAGCAGAGGAAGAAGGCGGTAGAACGTGAGGAAGCACGGATTGCTCGCCAGGCCAAAAAGTGGCTTCTAGAAGATATCAGATCATCCAAAAGGGGCAGGAAGAAGGTCCTCAAGGACCCTGCACCTTCTGCAGCTGTATCTAAGGATGCTGAGGGTGTTGATACCAATTCTGCGTCGGTGGTTGATGATAGCCCTGCACCCGCCCGCTCACGGTGCGGTCGCAAAATAAACCTGCCTGAGTGCTATTGCATGTAATTTATCATCGCCAATCTGTTCAGTAGGCTTCTAAAAGTGATATAACCGAAAATTTTGTAATAAGATAATCTCTATAGAGTTGTACAGCTTCAAGAGTTGTAGGTGTCGCAATGCGAAAATCGGGCGCCACGCGATTAGTCACGGTAATGTGGCTCGTGCGCCCCCCTATCGATAACGCAAACGCGCCAAACGCGACGCCGACGCGTTGACCGTCACTCTACATCATAACCAGACCACTCGCTAGTTATGCCTTCAACAATGTCCTCCTGGAGTGTGAGGTAAACATGCGCCACATGTTGCTATGAGCCTCCGCTAACACAATTCCAGGAAGCCTGTGATAACGTACTCGCGGAGCAAGAAACGCACATTTGCCGACGAAGAGCCTGCGACCAAACGCAGGCGCATCGAGAATTCGGAAGATGAGGAAAAAGGAAATGCGCTCGTCGCGAGCCCTGGAGTAGAGGAAGTCGTCGAGACATCCTCACCTATAACCATAGCACCTCCACCAACTTCGAGTCCCAGAGTAGCACAGGATGTCTCCTCGGATGAAACCACTGCATCAACACCACCCTCTTCTCCTCTAGTCCTGTCGTCGTCGCCTCCGGCACAAGGTCACCCACGACGACCCCTTTTCTCCATCTTCAAGAAGCAACAGAAGCCGCCGACGGCTCCCGCAAGTGGCGCATTATCAGATCGAAATCCCAACATCCCATCCCCGGCCGCCCCTCGCCCCAAGAAAAAACGTCTTGTTCAGATGCAGCTCGACCTCGTGGGAGAATTACGGAAGACGTGCAAAGTCTGCGGAATGGAATACATACCATCAAACACCGAAGACGAAAACCTCCATCGGAAGTTCCACGCCATGAATGTGGGAGGGGTCGATCTTACGAAGCCGTTCGTGAAAAGATTGAAACAGAAGGAGGTGTGGAGTGGAGGTGGAGGTTTTGTTGCTGTTGTAGGGCGGAAGGATCCTGCTGCGCTGAGGAACAAGGCGGTTGAGGTGTTGAATGTGGTGAATACGGAGCTGGCTGCTGTGGCGATTCCGGAAAGGGAGCTGTGGAGTGAAGTACAGACGTCAGTTTCCGAGCCCAATGCTGTCCAAAACAAAAATGGGACAATGGCAGCTACAGCAAAACGGACGGCTTCCGCAGGCGACCGGTTCAAGGCGTATCTTTACATTCAAGGCAACAAATGCGTCGGCGCATGCCTTGCCGAGCGGATCCAGGAGGCTCATGTTGTCGAGAATCAAGAAGAAGCGGCAAAGGGTCCTCAAACCACTCCTACTGAATCCGAGAGCTCTTCCATCTCTGTTGGGACGACCACTGAGCCTGCCATTCTTGGGATCTCTCGCATATGGACAAGCAATTCGCATCGAAATCAGGGCATAGCTACGAGGTTGCTAGACGTCGCGTGTACCGACTTCTTATATGGGATGGCTATCGAAAAGGAGATGGTGGCTTTCAGTCAGCCAACGGAGAGCGGAGCGAAGTTGGCACGCAAGTGGTTCGGACGACGCGCCGGCTGGCATGTTTACATTGATTGATGGTTGGTGTGCCTGCGGTACTGAGGAGAGGGATGGTTCCGAGGTCGTTATGTCATTTGATACCCCCCGTACGAGCTGTGAAAGAAAGAAAGCCTAAGGCATCCCAGAATTGGCCTTCTTAATACATTATTGATTGCTGAAAGCTGCCTACTTGTTCCTGGTGTCAAGGTAAGCCGCATCTACTGTGTATAATATATCCCTGCATGTGAATTGGTGGGGTCGACGTTCTCCTCCAAACAGTTGGCAGTCATCTCACCAACCAACCATCAGCCAGCAATTCACGCGGCGTTTCTCCTCCGTACGACTCCTTACCACTCCATTCCACTGCTCGCAGTCACCTCCCCCATGTAAACAAAAACAATGCGTTGAACCTAGCTTTCACCATGGCCGGGAACCCATTCCGACAATCCCAAGTCCTTAGTGCCAGCACCACCTCCGCAGCACCTCCGAACCGCGTAAGCTTCCTAGATCCGGAGAGTAGCAGCGCCCATGGCACACCGCGGGCCCATGAGTCTGGTATTTCTAGCTGCTCCAGATTGTGGTCTGGAAGTCGAGTCAAAGCAGAAAGAATAATAGCATTACAGGGACCGCGAGCTCGTCGCCCTCCACGACGACAAGGAAATCCGTCCACATTGAAGCTCCCGACGCTCCCACCTCCGCCTCCGCCGCTCCGCCTCCGGCTCCGCTCACCGCAGATGATCCGGTATATCATAGCTTGAGCTCTGAGAAGGATGCTGGGCCGCCGCTGCCTAGGTCTCCGGCAGGCTTCTCGGACCACTTCGAGGACCAGCACGAAGTAGATTGGTTTGACAAGGAGCATAGTAATGAGCGAATATATGACGTTCAAAGAGGAAGGACCATAAACCCGCCACAAGGTCGGCATCTGGAGGCACCAACGCAGTCATTATCTGGAGTTCCTACCAATCCATTCGCAAGGACCTTGGCCAATATTGAAGGGTCGGAGTCAAGTAGAGGGGAACGGGAGCAACATAGAGGTGCGCAGGCGCCCCTTTCCTTGCCCTTGAACCTCTCCGGCACCATTCCTGGCTTTCTAGGAGAGCAAACTTCTCATGGAGTCGTGCTAGGATCATCATGGTGTCATCATGCTGACATTTGCCGAACATAGGTCGGGGAACAGGCTCCACGCCGGAAGGGGGAGCTCCCAAGGCAAACCTAGACGTCGAGAGCTTCAAAAGACTTCTCCTGACTGGTATCTCGCCTCCTTCAAGCGGAAAGCAAACGACCCAAGCCACCGTAACCACCGCCGCACCGGCGGGCCTTTCCACCTTGGAAAGCAGCAGCACCGACACGTCGTCCGTCTCGCATCAATCCATTGTCGAAGCGGCGCTTCAAGAACCGCGCGCGGAGACCCCGCGAACATCTTACGAAATGGCACCGTCTGATGAAGAGAGGGTAGGCTTGATTACTGAGGTAAAAAAGCCAGAGAAGAAGAAACAACCCCCTCCTGCGCCAAAGCACCGCCACGGCAAGCTGGTGTCCTCCAGAACCCCTCAGACCGTACCGTTTGCAGATTTTGGAGCCTCGGAATCCACTGTTGCCCCTGTTCGTCGGAGAACCGACTCTGATCTCAACAAACCGTTACCTCCCATACCTCCGGTCAGTTCGCCGCCGACGCATTCCAGTTCGCAAGATATCACTCAGGATACCATTGCAGCCACGCGACCTCCCTTGCAATCAAGACACAGTACATCATCCGATCCTACGCATGCTGCTGGCCAGCAGAAGAAGATACCTCCTCCAGTTCCGCTTGCGAGGAGACAGAGTCAACTCCGTACCTCCACAACGGAAAACCGATCCAGAAGTAGCTCCATCCTCACCGTGTCCTCCCAGCATTCCATCGCCGAATTCCCCACCATGACTTCCAGCGTAAATAGTGGGCCCAGATCTTCTCCGTCACAGAAGGTCCCTCCACCACCACCACCGTCTCGGCGCTACGGAGCCTCTTTGTCAGGAGGTGCCAGCTCAAGCGCAAACTCCTCTGCCACCGAACTGCTCCCTGGGAGCCGACCTGATATCACGTCCCCTAACCACCCTTCCCCACGCAGGATGATTTCATCCTCGAGCACGTCATCTCCCGTCCCTGGGCACTCCGGGCTCTCCCGTACTCCCTCGACAACTTCAACTCGCACCATCCCGCGCACCGTCTCTGGCGAAAGCACCTCTTCCGCCCCGCCGCCACCCCCGCCCAGGCGCCGCGCGTCTGGACGTTCAAGTCTTGACAGAGAGCGTCCGAACTACCCGCCGAGTATATCATCAATTGAAAGCCGACGCACGAGTTCCGAAGCCAAACGCACCAGTTTTGACGGAAAGAGACGGACCAGCATCGCGAGTGAAAGCTCGCTTCGGTACGAGTACGCGCCCTCGACAGAGCAAGAACCATTGGCGTGCGCTCCTACGGTGACGGAGGAGCCGCAGAGTATGGAGCCTATCGTGACTTCCACCGCCGCTCCCGCAGATATACTGCACGATATGGAGGAGTTCCAGAGAGAGATTGACAAGTTGAGGGAGCGGTATCAGAAGAGCAGCTGACGTGCATTTGGCTGAGTTCTAGCGCTGGAGCAGCATATCATGCGTTGGCGGGTGATCAGCGCGTGTTAGTAAAGCGATCGAAAGTCAATTGAGGTGAGCTGGCAGTCCGGGTTTTCTTGCCGCTATGGCGGTTTGGCTGTGCATTCGGAGACTGCCATGTCTCCTGGTTGGTTTGGGATTTTGGCTGCATCAGATATTCTTCTGTTAGATATTGTCGAGGAACACTCGACGGGGTACATAAGCATTATTCTCCACTTTGGTTCAGCTCACATCGTACAAGATCGGTCATGACAAACATCTCCACCCCTTCGAACCGTCCCCACCACGAGATTCTTCCTCGCACCATTTTTTAATGCTTCATCTCCGCCACCCCCTCCGCCTCCCTCATCTCCAACACCTTATCCACAATCCCAAACTCCAACGCCTCCTTCGCATCCATGAAGTAGTCCCTCTCCATCGCCTTCTCAATCTCCTCCAGACTCGTCTCCCTCGTCAGATGCCTCTGATAAATCTTGTTCAACCTCTCCTTCGTCCGCAATATCTCCTTGGCATGAATCGCTATATCCGCCGCCGTCCCCATATACCCCCCACTCGGCTGATGAATCATGACACTACTATGCGGTAAACAATACCGACTCCCCTTTGCGCCACCGGCCAACAATAACGATCCCATGGAGGCAGCCTGGCCCATGCAAATTGTACTCACGGGCGACTTGATGTACATCATGGTGTCGTAGATTGCCAGTCCCGCGGTGACGCTTCCGCCGGGGGAGTTTATGTACAGGGAGATTGGTTTGTCCGGGGCGTCTGCTTCGAGGAAGAGGAGCTGGGCGACGATGTTGGACGAGGTGGGTAGGTCGACTTCGCCCATGAGGCAGATGATGCGTTCTTTGAGGAGGCGCGAGTAGATGTCGTAGGTGCGCCAGCCGCCGCCCTGGAGGTAGGAATTTAACATTCAATTCGTTGGGGAATTGAGAGGATGGTAGGTTGCGAGTGAGGGGGGAAAGGGAAGGGCACGTACGTCTGATTCTGTGACGAAGGGGGTTGGGGACCAGGATTTGGGAGGGACGGGTTGTGAGGAGGGAGTTGCTTGGGTGAGCGGGAAGAAGGGATTTGTGGATATTGAGCGGCGGGTGTGGATCCGGGGTGCGGATGCAGCTGTTTGCCGTATACATCTTCGGAATGCGGTGGCCATGGTGTTGATGTTGGGCGGAAGTATCGAGCTCGCCGGTGCTACGTCCAGAGTCTAGCTATCTGAAGAATATTTTTAGATACTGGTTCCGGCTTCGTATCGGAATTGGCACTGAATTATTGCTGTATATCGAAGTGAGGTGAACATCCATACCCGTCAAGCTTCGGAAGAGATCACCTCGTCCGCCAAGTCCCAATTCCGACCTCCAGCAACAAGCTCCGACAACCTCCAACCTCCGAATCCCACCCACCCACTTCCCCCATATGCCAGGCCGGTCGCTCCCGCTCCGCCTGCATATTTCCAACCCCCAATGCCGCTACAAAACCACCGCCGCAGTCCTCCGCGGTGACGCTCTGGGCCCCACCCAGCAATCCGCCCACCGCACCCACCGCATCCTCAAAACGGGCGAAACGCTCCCGCTCCCACCCCTCCTCGACCCCCTCGTCCTCGAACAACGCTCCAAATGGACGCAACCCAAAAAACCCCCGGACGCGAAGACCTTCACCCCCTTCCAGAAGAAACTCTACGCCACGCCGTACGCGCACATGCTGGCTAGCCCCGTCCGCCAATGCCGCCTCACGCACATCCTACTCCCATCGGACCTCCTCCTCTCCCTACACGCGCGGAATCACCCCGGTACAACGGATCCCTGGATCCTCCCCGTGTCCGCCACAACGACGACGAAGAAGAAGGAGAAACAACAGCTCGGTGCACCCTTCCGCTTCATCAATCGGCAGGTCGTGCTCGAGGAGCTGGGCCGGAGGCGGAAATGGGCGCATAGTATGGGGCCGAGGTTTGAGGAGGCGGTCGGGAAGACGCGGTTGTCGAAGATTGTTTGGAGGGAGGATATGGTTGATTTCGTGCTCGGGTTGATGCGGAAAAGGGTGTTGGGGGCGTTGAGGTGGGGGTTCGGGCGCGTGGGTCAGTATGTTCCTGTTGCGAGTCCGAGGACGGTGGATCTGGAAGGTATGATGACACAGAAGGGGAATGGCAATGGGAATGGGAATGGAAAAGGAGTGGATGTTTCGTGTGTGCTCGTTTTGGGGACGTTGAAAACTCACGCCGAGGATTTACAGGCCAGGTGTAAGAGGATATCGGATACGTTGAAGGAGCTTGCAACGAGCACTGCGGAGATTCTGAGGCCGTACCTGGACCCGCATCGCCAAAAAGGCGTTACCCATCATCCGCCCTGGTGGTATAGAGGCCCTCTAGTACCCACGCTGCAGCCCAGGCTTTGGATTCCTCCGCTGGAGTTCAAAACGACGGTATGCGGCGGGAAGAAGGTGCCGGTGTATAGTCTGTGCGACTTACTTGGGGAAGAGAATTTGAACGAGCTGCTGGCCGACTCGAAGTTCAAGGATGACAAGTGTCTGGTTATACCGAGGGGCCGGCACAATGTCCCCGTAGAGACGTTGTTGATGGAGTTACAAGCATTTTTGGCATCTCCAGGCCCTTAGACTCTAGGGCGGATTGTACTTATCTTGTGCAGATATCGGTGAGATTCGGAATGCGAGGCCACATAGACACATAGGGAATGCTCAGTGAAATAGCCGTCTGGATGGACTGGCATCAAGCGTAGATATGGCCGAAAAGGATCACCTGCAAAACTCTTGAGAGAGCACTTGCGATTCATTTCATTGCCTTTGCACAGCTTGATCTCTTGCCCCACTGTCACAGGTGTTGGACACGAGTCGCAAGACATGCACTCTATTCGAGGAAAGAGACCGCAAAAACGATGCAGGCCGTCAAAGGTGGATATCGCTAAAGAGACATTTTTGCTCGTAAAAATGCACGAACGTCGTGCGACGCCTGTTGTTCATCGTCCATCGCACATGACCTCCATAAAACTCACCGCTCACTCTAACTATCTGTTGGCCGACGCAGAGCATACGGTCGAAATCCACCAGCCGTCGATGTCGAAACCCACACAGCCTTCTCTTCTTTCCGCGATGCGAAATCCGTTAAATCTTGTTCTCCAACCTCCGCTCATCTCTCAACTTGCTCAGCTTCTCGATAACTTCATCCAGGGGGACAACTTCTCCTCTCTGCTGTGTAGCCTGGTCATCACGGTTCCTGATGTTCACAGTCCTCGTCTGCTGCTCCTCAGCACCAACAACCAAAATGAAGTTGTACAATTGCAGTTGCGCAGTGCGGATTTTCTTCTGCATGGTGTTTCCGCTGATGTCGATATCGGCGTGGAGACCTTTGGCACGAAGCTCCTTCTGCACTTCCTTGACGTAGCCGTTGGCAGAGGGCATGACAGGGATGACCATAACTTGGCGAGGGGAGATCCAGAAGGGCCAGCGGCCAGCGAAATGCTCCGTAAGGATACTACGTGATCTGTTAGTGAAGCAATCCAGACGAACGGGTGGAAACACTTACGCAATGAAACGTTCGAAAGAACCATAGATTGCACGGTGAATCATGACGGGGCGAGCATAGCCCGGTTGCGGTTCAGGGACATGCTCAGGATGGGCAGCTGCTTCCTCCCCCTTCACTGGATGTCTCGGGTCCTCGTGCGGTTGTGCAGCAGCGGCAGCATCAGCAGCATCAGCAGCCTTAGGCTTTTCTGACGTCATGTACTCCAAGCGGAAGCGTATCGGGAGCTGGAAATCAAGCTGAATGGTGGCACACTGGAACTCCCTCTTCAATGCGTCCGAGATCGTGATGTCAATCTTCGGGCCGTAGAAAGCGCCATCACCGGGGTTAAGCTCCCACTTGCCGCCTCCCTCTGCTGTGAACTGGTCGAGCGCCTCGGTGAGTTTAGCCTCTGCCTTGTCCCAGGTCTCAAGCCTTCCGAGAAATCCTTCCGGGCGCGTGCTGAGTTTGAGCTTGAAGGTGAAGCCAAACTTGCCGTATACTTCTCTGAGGAAGTCGAACAAGCCGGAGATCTCGTCCGTGATCTGGTCCTCGGTACAGAAAATGTGCGTGTCATCTTGCTGGAAACGTCGCACACGAGTGAGACCGGTGAGAGCACCAGAGGCCTCGTTTCGGTGCAGAATACCAAAGTCAGCCATTCGGATAGGTAGCTCGCGGTAGCTTCTTTCGCGGTGCCGGAATATCAAGCAGTGGCCAGGGCAGTTCATTGGCTTCAAAGCCCACTTCTCCTTCTCCACATCGAAGGTGAACATGTCCTCGTGATAATGCTGCCAGTGGCCAGAGATTTTCCAGAGTTCCGAGTTATACATATTGGGCGATCCGACCTCCTGATATCCTCGCTTCCAGTATTCTTCACGAAGGAAAGCCATGAGCGTGTTGTATATGATCATTCCATGAGGCAAGAAGAAGCAGGAACCAGGGCTGTACTCGTGGAAGAAGAAGAGTTCCTGCTCCCTACCAATCTTGCGGTGGTCGCGCTTAGCGGCCTCCTCTAGATATTTCAGGTGCGCTTGCATTGAGTCTTTATCCGGGAACGAGACACCATAGATCCGCTGGAGACTGTCGTTGTTCGCGTCGCCGAGGAAGTAAGAGGCAGAGTTCTTCATGACTTTGAATTGCTTTATTCTGCCGGTGTGAGGAACGTGCGGACCCCTGCACAAATCAATGAGAGGGCCATTGCGATAGACGGTAGTGAAAGTTCCATCAGGGATCTTGTCTTTGATAATATGCTGCTTGTAGGGGTTGGATTTGAACATCTCGAGCCTGTTCACAGTTAGAAGCAGCGAACCAGGTGGCCTTGACTAATAGAGCACTAACAAGTCGTCTTTGGAAAGCTCTAACCGTTGGAAGACCTGCTTCTCCTTGACAATGCTGCTGACAATGGTTTCAAGGGGCTTGTAGTCGGTACTTTCTACGGCAGCCTTTTCTGGAAGAGCCATCTGAAACACAGGTCAACGCAGTCACTCTTTGTATATGGTGCCCGTACCTCGTAGTAGAATCCATCTTCGATGGGAGGGCCGATGCACAGATCGCAGCCGAACCTCCTCTCAGCAGCTTCTCCGAGAATATGCGCACTCGAGTGCCAGAACACTTTCTTTCCTTCCGGGTCTTCGAAATCGAGGAATTCGAGCTGAACGCTCCTCTCCAACGGACGCTCAAGATCCCACAGGGTCTCTCTCTCCGTTCCCTTGTCTAGACGGGCGATGACAGTGCGCTCGAACAAGCTCTTGCTGATTGACCTAGCAACGTCCGCGGGGCTCGTCTCCCAAGATTTTCCTGGGAACGTCTTGCCATCTGGGAGAGTGATGGTGATGTCCTCTGGGAGAAAGATGCGTTAGTGAAGTGCAGTGCTAATGCGGAGAGGGGATAGTCGTACCGCGCGGTTTCTGAGCAATCTCGTCGTCATACTTCGCCTTTAATTTCTCGCTGAAGCTGTGTCAACGATTGTTTACTGATCTATATTCGGTCCAAACTTACAAGATTTGAATGCGGTGGTCAATATATGCCGGGGGTGGACTGAGTTCAAGAGGGCGACCATCTCCGCCTTCGTCTTTCTTTTTCTTCTCCTTCTTCGGTTTCTGCTCTTTCTTCTCCTTCGAATCCTTTCCAATGGCGAGGTTCTTCACGCCCTCTACAGTCTCCTTCACAACATCGGCCATGGTGGGCAGGGTGTCGATGAGGTTCTGGTCCTCAACTTTTCTATGAGAGAATTGGGTATTCTGCCGATACCGTCTGGACCGCTTCCGTGTATCGTAGAACTAAGTAAACAACTCCCGTCGTTCCTGCACCCGAAATGCTGTTTGAGTCAACTGCAGCCCACCTTCGGATTGGTGGGGCAGCCATACATCGGATAAAGGTTCCGCCGATTGGCCGAGGAATTTCGATTTTCTCCCAAAGCTTTACTATCACCTCTCTCCGACGACAGCAGCGAGGCCGAACCGCACGACTATATACCCCATCGACGACGAGGACGGCAAGATGTCTTTTCGCGGAACACCACGAGGCGGCGGTGGAGGTAGAGGGGGCTTCGGAGGTCGCGGCGGTGCGCATATCCAGCCAGGTGTATGGTCCCAAGCTAATTGATTGTAAAGGTCGCGGCGGTTTTGGAGGCGCTGCATCTTTCGGACCTCCAGCGCAAGTGCTTGGTGTGCATTTCCTGGCCATTTTGCGAAGGTTGCGCTAATCCTGTTAGAAATGGGCACGTTCGTTCACGCATGCGAGGGAGAGATGTTTTGCCAGTCGAACAACCCTAAGATTCCGTACTTCAATGCGCCGATCTACCTCGAGAACAAGGCAAGACCTCTGCGGAATTCTCGTGGTATCTGGCATATATCTGACAGCGTATGCAGACTCAAGTGGGCAAGGTCGACGAGATTCTCGGCCCGCTGAACCAGGTTTACTTCACGATCAAGCCCCAGGAGGGCATCCAGGCCACATCCTTCAAGTCCGGTGACAAGTTCTATATCGGTGGAGACAAGTTGCTGCCGTTAGACAAGTGGGTCCTTCAGTTCCAACACTAGATGTGTCAGTACTGACCGTGACAGGTTTCTACCAAAGCCGAAACCCCCGCCAGGAGCCCCTAAACCGAAGCGAGCTGGCGGCGCTGCCCGTGGCGGTGCCCGAGGTGGACGCGGTGGAGCCCGTGGACGCGGAGCGCCGAGAGGAAGAGGAGGTTTCGGTGATCGCGGTGGAAGAGGAGGTTCTCGAGGCGGTTTCGGCGGTGGCAGGGGCGGCGGCGGATTCTCAAGGGGAGGTGGCCGAGGTGGAGGACGCGGACGTGGCCGCGGCTTCTAGATGTCCCGACGAAGACTGTGATTCCAAGAGCATCGTTATGACTTGCGGAGGCTTCTTTTTCTGGACGAGACCAACCTATTCAACAGGTTCTCCGATACCACGGGGTGTTTCCGGCGTTAGAGGGTCTGGGCTGGGTGTACATTGTAAACCTCCAGGGCTGTTTACATGGGTGGCCGACTAGGCTCGCAAAATGATCTCACAGAAAGGTCTCATGGGTGTAATTCGACCGACATTAGAGTTCAATTCTGAAGAGTTACACAAAGGAACAGAAATCTGGACCGCTCCTATACACGTCGCAATACAAGCCTGCGAAGAAGACAGCAAGCAAGTTGTCTGGTCGGAAACATGGTTGAGACAGCAAGTCGAGATATCCGATAATCTATCGTAAAACATGCCACTGCAAGGAGCCATCTGCGAGACATATCGGTAGCCACACGGGTAACAGTAAAATGTTGCTCAACTTCAGCATATCCTTTCTTTCGCTGCAACTACTAGTAACCTATATGTCCACGATACACCTCTAGGGCTCTTGAAGCAATTTTGTTACACCCCAGTGCTTTTACAGACATAGAGCCTACAGTATGTTGCTATTCAACGCGGCACCTTTTCTGTGACCTGGGTAAACATACTTCCTACAGTCGCTCAAGGATTACCAGGTTTCCAAACACGTATAAGCGCGCGGAAGTCTTGGCGCCCGCAAACCTCAATGACGTTAAGCTTGTGAATTGCCGATTCAGGTTTCTCGAGCGCCAGAGACACAACAACAGCAAACGACGCCTGTTTTCAAAACCCCCTATAAGCGCAGTTACCGACCGCCACCTTCTTACCTACTTATTCTCTTCTGCTACCGTTCTTTTCCCTACGTTCCATAACAGCGAAGTCCTCCCTCGAATTCGGAAACAGTTATGTCTCGTAGAAACGGCGCCCCTTCGGGGCCCAAGGACGCTGCTCCTCCGCCGACGGACTTGAGTATGAATGAATAGACACGGGGTCATAGAAAGCTGTTGCTAACGACTCCGCAGCGCAAGACAAACAAGCACGTCTGCTGTCTTCCGAAGCAGGCCACTTCTCGCTCTTCCGGTGCGGCTTTTTCGATCTCCAACTCCAGTCCCGGAACCACCCCCAACTAACCCTCGCCATGTAGAGCATTACATATGGCCGACTTCATTACCGAGCTAAACGGTACATACACGACAACCCTACTGCAAACAACAACGACAGCTAACACCCCCACCCCCCAGGCTTCTGCGGCGTCATGTCCGTCTTCTCCTCGCTGCGGTACTGCATCCAAGACGACCCGACGGACCACACGAACCTGTACCTCGCGCTGGGCTTCATCCCGCTCGGTCTCTTCTTCGACTTCATGGACGGCAAGATTGCGCGCTGGAGGAAGAAGGCCTCGCTCATGGGCCAGGAGCTCGACTCGCTCGCTGACCTGGTACGTCCGCTTACTCTCCGCTTTCCCATTTTTCTTCAATGGCCCTTGGGTCGCTGATGTTATTTTTCTTGTATGTAGATATCCTTCGGCGTCGCCCCCGCCTCCGCAGCCTTCATCCTCGGCCTCCGCACACCCATCGACCACCTCGCCCTCTCCTTCTTCGTCCTCTGCGGCCTTACGCGCCTCGCCCGCTTCAACGTCACCGTCGCCCTGCTGCCCAAGGATGCTACTGGGAAATCGCAATACTTCGAGGGCACGCCGATCCCGACGTCGCTGGCCCTCGCGGGCATCATGTTTTGGTGGGTACGCATGGGGTGGATAGGGGAGAGTCTGCCGTGCGGGGTTTGGGGCCAGGGGAAGTGGTGGGAGTGGCATCCTGTGGTGGGGCTGTGGGTGGTGCATGGGTGCTTGATGGTGAGTAAGAGTATTAAGATCCCGAAGCCTTGAGGAAGGGGGAAGGGGTAAGGAGAAGATGGGGAGTGTTGATGTGGGCTACTATGAGAGAGAGGGGGCGGATGGTTCGGGTGCACTGTGGTGGTAGTTTGGTTTATTGGCACGCCAATACCTCCCTGTCCGTACATCTGGTTGGATTGACATCCGAAAAGGAGAGCGTGCTTTTCATTGAGTACATGCTGATTCCCAACTCTTGCTTCTCAACGATACTGGCTTCTCTTACCTCGATATATCCTGACGGGCATTGTCGGAGCACATGTAACGGGCGGGGCTATATATATCGACCCGATATCAGCTCATGTATTGCATCTCTGTGCCCAAAACCGGGCCGCGTATTCACCGCTTGACTCATGATTACCGGCGCTCATTAGTTGTACCTATGTCTATGTGATCCCTTGCCCTTCGATGGTGTATGGTATTATTCCAGTAGGGGTCTCATGTGTCCCATAATGCCGCGCCAGTCCGATGCATCATTGCAGTTGCCAACGGCTACTACCTTTCCCCCAAGTTGCGAAGCACATCCAAACGTTGATCCGCGAGCTAAGCGTGCTGCTCATGCGCAAGTCAATACAAAGTGAGGAGAAGTCGTAATATTCCGTGGGCCAGCAGCATCAGCTGCTCCGCTCGACGATAAACGCGTTCGTGGGTATTAGGCTAGGGATTCCTAGCGATCTATGTGTGCACGAGAACCAATGCTCGGGGTGGAATCGGAAGATAGCTTGGGAAGGAGTTCAGGCCGATTGACTTCATCTCGTGATAATCAACGCGAAGCCATCAACCCAAGCCCCACAAGAGCCGGAGATACCGCCGAGTGTGTAGCCCCGAGGAGGAATGAGCGTGTGTCTAATAACCAGCCGTTAGTCATGCATATGGAACTGCACCACATATGATAAACTTACCCACTTCCTCCATTCGGGTTACCAAACCACGCGCTTCTCCTCCCCAAGCTCGTCAACAACTGCAAGCCATCAATCCACAGCCCGGCACGAAGTTCAAAGCCAATCAAGTGCTCTCCTTTCCGAGTGTCCAGTGGGAAATCAGAGGGACTTCCACCTCTTTTGCCAAATAGCTGACTGGTGCCGTCTTCGTACATGAACTCCACTCCATCGAGAGCTAATCCATGATGTACCCTCACGCAGACAAGCAATTTCGTCTGAATGTACGCGCTCTCCAATATCAGCTCCTGCGGCTGGGAGCCGTTCATTTGCGAATAACCAAGTTTGCTGCCTCGATAGCCGCATCGTCCATTCGGCAACTTCACTCTCGCCAGTTTCTGGTTAGACAGAATGGAGAAATCCTCCACGACGTGCTTTCCACCTCCTGCGGAGAAAATCTCCAACTTCAATCGCTTGCTACGTTTCTCCTTGGGCAGAAGTGCACGTAGGTCCGAGTCAACAAGTGGAACTTGGCGGGGATATTGGCCATCGGACTCCTGCCACTCGTGCCAGTAGTGGCAGACGTCGTCCCCTTCGGGATAGAGCTCTACCCATGCGAGTCCGGATTTTGAAGTCGCAATGACTCCGCCCTGGCCATCGTCTACAGTCCATACCTGAACGCTTCCATCGCCGTTTCCGGCATCGAAGGGGATCTCGAAGCAGGGATGGAAGCGGAACCGAAGCGCATCCAGTCGGTGCCATCGGCACTCATCTGCCTGAAGAACAAGACGCTTGCCCGGAGACTTCGTTCGCGTACAGTACGGTTCGCGGCAGGTGAATGTGCGGTTCAAGGTGACATAGTCACGCAACATGACGCCGGACTCCTGGTGCGGGCACCCGAATAGGTGACCCGTCTCATGTAAATGCGCACCAATGCCTATATTGGCGGCCTCCCATGTACTTCCAGACTCATTGCAATCATTCGCTACCCATGCAGTATCGGTCCGCGTGCAGTCGCTGAAAACAAGCGGAACCTCCTCGAGGGTGGCAGGATAGCTCTGAAGGGCATGAGATCCAAAGATGGCCACTTGTACGTTTCCATCTCCGCCTCCCAAAGCAGCATGACCGCGAATCGTCTTTTCCATCGGATCCCAATGCGAGTCGAGGAACAAGCATGAAACATAGTGCTTCTGCCCCGGTTGTACATGGAAGTATTTCTTAACTTCTTCCATGGCAATGTCGAAAAGCGCACCCCTTTTGGTCGCTTTATCATATTGCTGGGCGTAATCGAGATCTCGTAGCTCCGCCGTCGTCTTACTCGAACGAATGATGTGTATCTTTGCTTGCGTTCGAAACCTTCCCGAAGCGGCGTCCTGCCAAGTGAGAGTACCTGGCTCCCAGGCGTCCTCGAATCGGAAACAACGTCGACCAAAACCGTGTCGATACATTTGCTCCCCTGTGAAAGCTTGCCAGAGATAGGCTGCCATTCGGAATTTCCTGACGGCCAAATCGAGACTGTTGCCCTCCTTCTGTATCCGGTCGGGTGTCGCGTCATAGGTGCCCGGCGAGTCACTTCCCAAGATGATAGCCAATTGGAGCGGGGGAAGCTGATTGAGCGGAAGATAGTTGATGTGCAGCCACGAGGCATGTGTAGGTACGGAACCGCTGCCCGTGGACACCTTGGAGGACGTAAAATCGAGGCGTAGTCTGTTCCAGCCCGGCTCTAGATGGACCAGTGCCTTGAAGTGGGAATCGGACACTGGCCACTGTGTGGGCGGGAACTGGGCTTTGTGGTGGTTCACCGTCACGGTGCCGTCAAGCGGTTTGGAACTGGCTTCACCGATTTGACCATATATGAGCAGAACTTGCTGGTGTACCTGCGAAATGTCAGCTCTTGTTCACACGAGGAGTGGGCGCAAAACTTTACCCATGAACCGTCAGACACGGACAGGACTCGCGGCGCCAGGAGCGAAGAAGAATTCAAGGACATGCGTGAGCCATTAGTTGAAGTTGTGGTCAATGGGCCGTTCGTACTGTAGCGTTTGGCGCCGTTTGCGTTGGGCCTTGCCGGAGGACGAGCTGGCAATGGGGGCGCAGTGCTGGAAGCGCTGATGGACTGGAGGGAGCCATCTTCAGAAGCAGGAGTTGTGGGAGTGGCAGCGGATGAATCTAATGTTGAGCATGATTTATGCGGCGCCGTAGGCTCAGTGTTAGCAAGGGGATTCGAAGTGACTTTTCCGTTGGCGAGGCCACGTTTGGGGCTACTTTTGGATGCTTCCGACTTGGATGCGGCGTGCTTGTGTCGTAAGTTGTGGAATATGGAAGGCATAATTGCCAATGGTTGCACGGCGGGCCGGACACAGGAAGCGGATCAGCGGCGCATAGACGAGCAATGACGACAGGTGCAGGGTGAGGTAGTCGGGGAAAAGGTCGTGGTGGTGGTGATGTGAGGTCGACGAAGACGACACAGCGGAGTTCTGGTGAATGGAATTAGTCAACCTGAGGTGCAAATGAGCGAGTGATTGAAGATCAGTGAGAGCGAGTCGGGGAGGTGTTTGTTGTTATGGTGATGGTGGGCGCGCGTGCCCAGGGCTTCGCAGGGAAGGTGCAGACGCCTTGTTGAGCGGCGATAATCTAGAGAGCCAATCTGCGTTATCAAGAAGAAGCAGGATTTGCGGAGCGAACCGCGTGTCCCTGCTGTGAAGGAGGGAGCACGAATTGGCCAGATGATGGACCCGTGGACGACGGCACGTCGCACAATCCCAATTCCAATACCAAAACGGGAAGCGCAAGTTGAGATCTCAGAGCCAAACAACATCGATGACGACACTTGCCAAGCGATACTGTGGCTACCACGCGAAGGTTAGGCTTCCCGTTTTGACTCATCAGCCACAAATGGTGGGGCACCAGCCTCACGTCATAAGCTACCTCCGCTCTCCCTCTTGTAGGGTCCATGTTGAAGTGATTGCAAGCTTGATAAATGTCCCAAACTTTACAAGTCTCTGTAGGGCGATATTTTAGGTCTTGTAGAGCAGTTAGTAGTTGCACCAAGTACAAAGAACTGTCCGCATCCCCAGCCACGACGGACAAAGCGGGTGCTCGCAGCTGTCACGACTACACCGTGTAGCTAGCTGGCTAGAGGATGGATGCTGGACCCGCTTCAACGGCGTCAACATAGGCCGCTATGGATACCTGTAGAGAGGCGTGAACGATATTCCATCGTTAAAGAGAGCTCATTGCTATTATATGGGAAAGCGAGGCATTGCCCAAATTGAGAGCGGAGCAGGGTGGTCTGCCAAGCTTCGTTTTCCAATCCTTTGTCAGACGATCCGTAACGATACGTGCGCTTTTCAGCCGCGACCCCTGTCGTCAGCTCCGCCATCGACCGCCAGACAGCTCGAATCACAAAACACAGCGAGCCCTGCTCTTGCTTGCCAAACTCCTGAATCTGCACCTTCACAGCTGCTGCAGTCTGCGGCGAAGCAGATTGTCGACAAGAAACCCGTAACTACAGCAGCACCTTATTGCTTGCCCTGATCGAGCTCTTTGTCCGTAAACCGGTTGAGGAACCAAGAACAAGGGCGCCCACCACCGGGTTGCCTGTGCTCCACCGCTACCGCCGTCGACGCTAGTCCGCTTACGCTTTCCACCGAAGCCGTGCCGGGGCGACAATCTCCTCCATCATTCCTGCCTCATTGATCTCTCATTGACCCTCCTGCTTCATGCTGCTGCAACCCCCAACCGCCTTGATTCTCCTTTGAGAGAGCTTTTTGCCTCTCTCCTTTGACTTCGGCCTCTCTCCTGCAACCTCGCTCGCAATGACTACCGTGGAGCGGCTCGATCAGCCCGCTGAGGTTGCAACCAAAGTGCTTCGCAGAGCACAGGTCTCAAAGGTATGTTCCCCCCTTGACCGTCTTTGTTCCCCTCCGAGGCATCGATGCTCACACTTGCATTTGCAGATGACGAGGACGCTCCAGAACCGCCTTGCACTCGCAAACGTCAAGATTAAGCATGGCTGGGAGAGCCTCAGCCTGGATACCCTGGAACCAAAAGTCGAAGTCGAGCTCAAGCGGAAGCGGCCCGGCTCCAGCAACGAGACACTGTCAGACACCTCCAGTGTCTCTGAACGCTTCTACCCGTATGGCATACCCGATTCCTCTCCCCTCGCCGCTCCTATATTTTCCGACGATGTTCGACGATCCGGCAGTCGCACCAGTCGGTCTGGCAGCAGCCAAGGCAAGAGACCTCGCTATACACAGTCCTTCACCAGATATCCCGGCACCAGCAATCACAGCCGTACCAAAGTGCGTGCTTCAGCCTCGGGCTCAGCACACTGGAAGAGCATGCACAGGCTGCCTGAATCATCCCCCGTATACCACCGTCGACATACCAGATTCGGCACCGGCCACGCCTCCAGTCTTTCCTTCGTCTCTGAGACTTCGACCATTCCCGACCATCCTAGGTCACCTCTCCTGTCCGACGACGATGACGACGACCTTCCCATCACCTCGTTCCAATTGACCAGTTCCCATATGCGCTCATCGCCGCCCAGAGCTCCTCGCACTCCTTCACCAGCCATTGCCCGCTCCGCCCGTACCGCTCGTCTACGAGAAGGCGGATTGGCGGCTGCAGGCCCACCCCGCAATGGCGAGGAAGATGCAAATCTGTTGATCTATCTGGCGGCATCCCCCTCCCCCGCACACGCTTCCACCGCCAAAACCCTGATGCCGGCTCCGTCCACGCCTCCTCCCAAGTCTACTCCGCTCCCCTCCTCCATGATGTCCACTCCAGGGGGAGGGGCGCCTTTCCCTGGCTTCGGCCTAACTACTCCTGGAAATTTCAATTTTGCCGAATTCGTCAACATGACGCCGAGTCCCGGCCAGATCAATGGGTCGTGGAACCGTACCCCAGCGACCATCAAGACACCTGGCGCCACCCGCGAAGCCCGTCGTCGACTCAACTTCGATCCTACCGATAGCCCGCGCCTTGGTATCGAACGCTCCCGTGGGGTCAAGGTGGAGGGACTGGGCATGGACCTAGGCGGCGAACTCAGCGTACCCTGAATACCGTAACACAGAAACCATCTTACTACCTTTACTCCTTAAGCAGTAATCTGGGAGGATACGACTAATGACCTTGGAACGACACCGGATACACCTGTTCTGCCAGAAGAGTTTGGCCTAACAACATGATGATGCAAGTTGTGTCGTCATTGCCATTCGGTTCTTCTTTTTTTGCCTGTCTTTACCGAAAGCATTGCTTGCGTTTGTGTTTTTAACGAGCCCACCGCTCTGGCTGTTCGCCGTTGCGAATATGTAGGCCCCATGGTCGGCTCACATCCAGAGTGTCTTTCCTTCAACCCCCCTGTTCTACTCCGGTGCTGGTTTTCTTCTCGCCCGGGATTCTAGTTGCTTCTCCCGTTTGGCTATCCTGCCTGATTTGATGGGATTTTTCTCCGATACCATGGGTGGATTTCCTTGTCTATGTCTACGTTATTACCCCCCGTGCGTGGTTGGAGGCGCGGAGGAAGCGCTTGTGTTACCACGCCGTGTTTCATCATGGACGAGTGTGAGTGCTCTCTTTCCTTTGTCACTTGAGGAGCTACCTGCGAGGAATGGGTTCTAGGAAACACGGGAGGAGATGTAGTTAGCGGTGTAGCTATGTGGAGCGAACTCATTGGAAGTTTCCAAGCGGAGAATCAATGCAAAAGTGGAGTACCTGTCAAGGACAATTACTGCGACCTCTAATAATACCTTTGCAAAGGCCCAGAAAGTGAGGATGCTAGAGTATGCCTGTCGCATACGGTATGGAACTACTTTTAGTTGGGGGGTTGTCTATTCCCTTCCTCTCTTCGCGTCGTCGCACAAGACCGCAGCCCTCCATTCAACATCCTCATTATTATCATCATTATCATCGATATTTGTCATCATAAGGGCAGACTTCAGCCAGCCCCCATAGTATGCATTTTATATTCATCCCTTCCAACCAATCACAAGCCAGAAACACCTATTAACCCCGCGTGCGGATTGATCGAAAATTGAAGCTCGCGCTCGGACGCGCGAGGATGACGCGAAGGTGCTGGGATGTGATAATGTTTAGCCGTTTTGGGGTATAGTGGGGATATAATGGGAATATGGTATGTATGGTATGTATTGTAATTTACGTGGTAGAATGTTACATACCTAGGTGTGGTGATTACAGCCTAAGGGGTGGCTGGGAGAGGGGCATCGCGGACGCGTATCTTCCCTCGAACGATGCTGAGAAAGGGCTGCATAGAGGGAAAAGATAATATCAGCAGATCTACTTATGTGCAAAATAATAACGTGTCTTACAAGCGAGTCGGCCATACAAGCGAGTCGGCCACCCCACCAAGCCTAACCAGAACACCAACTTCTCATTACTATGGCTCTACCTCCGCATGCTCTATCATTATATACTGAAGCTGATATAATGCTTGCCTCCTCCTCTATTGATCGTCAGCAGTTTAAAAGCTCTAGACTTGCTGTTTCTATGTATAACGTTCCGAAATCAACACTGAACGACCGACACGCTGGCAAGCCTGCCTGACGCGATTGCCAGCCCAACTCAAAGAAGCTTACTGAGCTAGAAGAGGAGGTGATTGTTATATATATACTTGATCTGGATCAACGTGGATTTGCATCTATGTATGCAGCTGTACGTGATATGGCCAACAACCTGCTAGCTGCATGTGACGCAGGCCAGGTTGGCATCCACTGGCCACGTAACTTTTTCAAGCATACAGACAGTCTTACAACACGTTTTAATTGGCCGTACGATAGGCAGAGGGCTCTATGTGAGGATCCTGAGTTAATTAAGAGCTGGTTCAAGCTGGTAGAGCAGACAAAGGCCAAGTACGGCATCTGTAATAAGGATGTCTACAACTTCGATGAGGCTGGCTTTATGATGGGCAAGATTACTACTCAGCTCGTTGTAACAGGATCAGAGAGGAGAGGCCGGCCAAAGGCTATCCAGCCAGGCAATCGCGAGTGGGTGACGATCATCCAAGGAATCAACGCTGCTGGCTGGGCTATCCCACCATTCATTATCTTTGCTGGCCAACACCATCTCTCTGCCTGGTACGAGGAAGCTGATATCCTATGTGACTGGGCAATTGCTATTAGTGACAACGGCTGGACGAACAATGAGCTAGGAGTTGAGTGGCTAAAGTACTTCAATATTTATACCAAGACTCGTGTTGTAGGTGCTCATCGCCTCTTTATCCTTGATGGCCATGAGAGCCACCACTCCCTTGAGTTTCAAGAATTCTGCAAGGAGAACAATATCTACATGCTCTGCATGCCAGCTCACTCATCGCATCTGCTCCAGCCTCTTGATGTTGGCTGCTTCGCACCATTGAAGCATGCATACAGCCGTGAGATTGAGGCTCTGATCCACCACCACATCAACCACATCACGAAGCTTGAGTTTCTGCCAGCCTTCAAGGCAGCCTTTGATCAATCATTTACATCAACCAACATCTGCTTAGCTTTTTGAGGTGCAGGCCTAGTTCCTCTCCAGCCTGACATTGTTCTGTCAAAGCTAGATGTGTAGCTCCATATACCTACTCCTCCAGCTACTCTAGTAGAGGCTCTCTGGGAGGCTCGAATACCAAGCAACGTATGTAAGCTTGAGGCTCAATCAATACTAATACGTGATCGCATTCGGCAGCACAAGAGCTCATCACCAGCCTCAATTATTGAGATGATTGATCAGCTCAAGAAGGGGGCTAAAGTGATGATGCTCTCAGCTGAGCTGATGCGTGATCGGATTGCTAGCCTTGAGAGAGCTAATGAGGCAGCTATAAAGCAGAGGCAGCACAAGAAGAAGTGGATCCAGAAGCATGGAGTCTTAACAAAGGGAGCAGGAGAGGATATACTCGCTCACCAAGAGGTTGAGGAGCAGATTGCTCATGAACAGTGTCAAGGTGGTGCGCGATCAGGACTCAGCCACCAGGCTCTAGCGCGCTGCACAAGGTGTAGAGAGCCTGGGCATAACTCACGTACATGTAAAAAAGATACTTTAGATACTGCTTAATCTATTGTATTAATAACTACATACTACCTTAAAATGTGGTTGAGTTGTACGCTTGAAGGTGTGCGCAAACCTAGTAGGGTGGCCGACTCGCTTGTATGGCCGACTCGCTTGTAAGACACGTTATAGGCTATTCTTTTGTGATTTGATGGAGACCGTGCGCCTAGATATTTGTTCCGCTTCCTGCTTTCTCTCTCTTCCCTTTCCCTCTCACACTCGCCCACTAAGTTCCTCCAACATATCCTCTTTCCTCCGTTACAGAGTATGTACACGTTTGCGAGACACGACGGACATGTCGTCATAGACCCCATCAAGCTTCGACTAGCACGGTACGGTAAGGAACCACCAACTTCCAAAGTTCCAAGGTTTCGCAGGGCTGAAGGGCTGGTTTAGCGCCCGGAACAGACTCGGGCGCTAGAGAGACTAACGGGATGGACGAAAAGTGTACTTTGTACGGAGTACGAAGCCATGGATCAAGTAAGTATACCGTGTAAGAAGGGCATCGATGCACGATAGGGATGGAAGGACGATTATTGGTATGATGATATAGGACTGCACTGTGAACAGGAGGAGAGGGGGATGAGAAATACAGTACACTCTGCACTAGACGAAAATTTCGAAATTGGGGAAGATGCAAGATTGATATATGCGCTTTGTATGCTATATGAAAGGGTGGATATCTCTGGCCTGCTGTGCAGTCCTCTCGCCTGTAGTCATATCCAGCAACGGCCGCTGTACTCTGGTTCATCGTATTGGTATCCGTCAGTGTGACGGATATGTATCCAACCTCAACGCTTTCTAGCAGATCCCGCATGCTCTTCTTCCCCCATCCCTCTCTACCCATGTACTCTCCAGCCCAGCTCCCGGTGCAAGTCATCTACATGCAAATACTCAGAAAACGAAATACATAAGAAAAACACATGCTACGGTATCTCGAGAAAAGGGTCTCATGAAGCAGAGAAACGAGAAATAAAGAAACAGCATAAGAAACAAGGAATAAGACAGAGAAACGCTCCAGATGTGTATATAGCTGGAAAACCCTCCATACTCGTACAACGCCCGCGCTAGTCTGGCTGCGACGTAGCACCGGCGCTCAACATACCATGGCTCAATCAATCGTGGCTCCGTAACGCATGTACAAAAGAAGAGAAAAGGGAAGAAAAGAGGAGAGACGTAAGGCCAGGCTCCGAGAACCTGTCGAATATCCGAGCCCGGCGTGAGGAGATATCGGGAATGTCGTTGTCCGTGCCGAGGCTCGTCCCGCACCTACTCGTACTGGTTCTGATTGACCTGGCCCGCAATCACCATCATCCAAATGAAGAAGACGGCGCCAATAATCCAAAAGGCAAAAACCGCTTGCCAACATTGACCTATAGCCCATTAGCAAAACTCCCCAGTCCTCCTCACCAGAAGCCATATTCTCCCCAGGCTCACTCACAGATATTCTGCTGCTGCAGAAACGCCAACGTCTCGAGCGTGGGGCCATACTCCCTCCGATTGAACACGTAGCGATTACACTGGTTATTGATCGCCGCTCTGCCGAACAGCTGGATGCCCGTGCCCACGGCGCCCGTGAGGAAGAGCACGAGCAGGATGAAGGAGAGGAGCATCATTACGCCGGGGAGCAGGCGGCGCTGGGCGATGAGGATGAGTTCGACGAGGATGAAGAGGAGGGTGAGGGCGCCGACGGTGACGCCGTAGGGCATTATCCTGGGAGAAAGAAAAATAGCGGTTAGCTTCATGGCCATATTCCATAGAGCTTGCAGACTGTATACTATGTATGGAGGGAGCGGAACGGAACGTAAGGTAACGTACCAAGGCGTCCCCTGCCTCGTCTGATTCTGAATCGTCATGAACTGCGCATTGATGCCCAGCACCGTCCCCGCCGTCACCAGCATGATTATCGTCCAGAAGTTGAGTTGCGCGTCGGGCCAGTAGTACTTTTCTCGGACGATCACCGCAGAGCCTACGACTGTGCGCGCCATGGTGGAGGGAGGATGTCGGGTCTCACGAGTTCGTCTTCGTTCGCGTCGAGCGTGGATCTTTGCCTGCGTGTGTCCTTTGCTCGCAAATAGCCCCAATTGTCCCTTTTTCTCTGTTCTTCGATCGGTTCGCAGAATTTGTTTGTTTGTTTATTTACCGACGTCGCTCGTCTTCCGTCGTCGTCGTCGAGAGCGGATCCTTGTCAACCGTTTCGGCCCTTTGCTGCTCTCGCTGCGGCGCTCTTTCGAGACCACTTTGTCGGACAGCCCAATTCGCACCAATACCCTCCTCGTCTTTCAGAATCCAAACCGTTGTCTCTCAAAATACCACAAACTCGCAATCCGTTGCGACGCAGCGGTTCCTGCTCTTAAGCGAATGACGTCGGCGGTGCGTCTGTGCGTGCAATTCGACGAGTAACGACCGTCGCGATGTGCGCAATCCCAAGCGGGATTCTTCGAGTGATTGCGAATCTGTGAAAATATCCTCGAAGCGTCCGTCGGAGTGAGCGAAGGGTGGGAAATGTGTGTAAAGGAGAGAATGCGATTACTGTGAAGACAAGCAGGCGGGGCTGGGCTGCACAACAGGTAGTGCTCCTCCGAAAAGGTCCGCCGCAATCACGATGGCTGGGCGGAACAACAGGGGAGGTTGGGAGCCCCAGGAGTGCCCTGTCAGCGGCCCATCCAGCAGCGTTAATCAAGGATGGAACGAGGAAAAGTCAAGATACGTAATTCGCACGTTTTTGGTAACGACAATAGAGTTTCTTGTGATTATCTTTGGGGATAAATACTAATAATGTATACCCACTGCTTGGAAAACTGCCGGGTGGAAGAACTGAGGGTCCTCCTATGTACACAGTACTCCGTACGGAGTACACAGCCCCGTCTTATGCCAGAACGCCCGCTCCGCTATGCAATATCCCAGTCATAAGCCCAATAATTACTTCGTACGCCCCGTCTCGTCTCCCCTCTCCTTCTTATAATACATACCAATTACTTCCTTCGCGTGATGATCTTCGTGATGGCATGGCGAATGATGACACCCGCCTTCTCGGTTTCCTTCTTCGTGAGACCAGATGTAACACATACTTTCAGTGCAGGCGTAGGTTGCCATTCCTTTTCGTTAGCGGACGCACCGATGGCCTTGGGCATGGCCTTCAGTCTGGTAATGAGGACGCCGTTGGCGATGCACTAGTCCATGTCAACTGTTGTCGTGAAAGCTCGGTCAATGTGGAACTCACCTCGTCCACTACGTCCTGGAACAGCTGATTCTGGTCTGCAACACTGAGGTTCTTCGATGCTACAACCTCTGGCTTCCACACGAGAAGCATAATGGGATTCTCTGGGGAGCTCGTGCACATCACCCAATCGCTCCTTGGGTCCAGCTGCGCTCGCATTACTTTGATACTCTCCCTTAAAGAGGTAAGAATCTCGGGCTGGTCTTGCAGCATCTGTATCGTCTCGCTGGCGGTAGTAGCAAGGAGAGCGGGAAGAGCGGCCGAGAATGTATAAGAAGACGACGAGATGCGCTGATGCTCGACGACCTCCTCATTCCCTGCACAGAAGCCTCCAGCGGCACAGAGCGGTCCGGATAGCGACCCGATGATCATGTCCACGTTCGTGGCGTCCACGTTCTGCGCCTCCGTGAGGCCGCGGCCGGTCCTGCCCAGGACACCATACGACCAGGTCTCGTCGAGAATGAGGCGGAACTTGTACTTGAGCTTCAATTCAATCTGGAGCGGTCAGCAGGCTGAGACGTAATTCCGTCTTCCATGGAGGTCACCTACCAGCTTGGGCAAGTCCACAATATCGCCCACGTTCTCGAACAATGCCTCCGTAATAATGAAGCGCCTAGTCAGAGGCTTCTTGGCCTGCTCCTTTACAACCCGCTTCAAGACCCTTTCCAAGTCCTCCATATCATTGTGTTCAAACCACCTGACCGTGCTTCTTGAAATCTGAATTCCCTTACGAATCGCAAAATTGACAGCCTTGTCCGCAACAATGATATCTCCGCGTTTGGAGAAGGACGGGATAACGCTCGAAATCGTCGAGAATGACTGCGCATAGACGATGCAGGCCGCCGTGCCCAAATGCGCCGCTATGTTCGCCTCGGCCTTCATGTGCACGTCCTGAGTTCCGTAGAAGCCTGGAGGACCGCATGGGCCTACGCCATATGTCCTTAGCGCCTGTATAGCCTTCTCCTTCAATGTTTCATTCGCGACGAAGTTGTGGAAGTTGTAGGATGCGAGATTGGTGACCGTGCGACCGTTGGAAAGTTTCGACTTGGGACCCGTCGGGCTAAAGAAGTCAGTCCTGCGCAAGTCCGGGCCAGGAATTGCTCCAGAATCACGAACCCAACAATGACCGGCCGCTTCTCGTTCTCCATCTCCTCCTCCGGTGTCAGCGGCGCGACAAGCGGTTCAGGAGTCCAGTCATCAATCAGCTCGTCGATTTCCTACAGGCATGAGCGCGATTCTTTTCCCTTTCGATCAATGCGTCAGGCTCACCTCCTCGGTCAGAGAAACCTCCTTGTTCTTCTGCGTCGAGTACGCCGGCGCGAGCACATAGTGCACCGCGAACAAAAACAGGAATAGCTCGAAGACACTCCTTACAGGGTCATTCTGGTAGCTGCTCTTGATGTACCGCAGAATAATTGCGGAGCCGGGGATCTTGTGGAATTTCTCGTTCGCATCGTGGATTAGGCTCAAGACCCTCACTTGCGCTTCGTTGAGATCCATGGTGCTGGTTTTTGTTGGTGCCTGCCAGGAGAAAGTTTGGGTTGCGGAGGGTCGCGGAGGTGAACTGGCCGAATGCGGTTTAGGGCCGTTGAGAAATTGGGCGTGCCCCTTGATCTCACCACCTCCCGAAGAGAGATGATGGTGTCGGTACAGTATAATGTTATAGTTATTCGCGCTTTGCCCCTACGTTTGCTAACCTCGATCGCTAGGAACGGAACTGTCGCCGACATGCGCGCCCTCCTGCAACTTGAGCCTTACCAATCCCGATTGCGCATTTTGTGTTGGATGTGGTGGCTTTGCGAAGGCTGAGCAAAGTCTTGCCCACCACACCGGTGTGTTCCTTGTGGTGATTGAGACGTCGATAAATAGCAGTGCAGCTTCGAATGTGATCCACCTTATTTACGATCAAGAACGCGGCTTTATAACGATCGTGACTCTAATCTCTGAACTAGCCAACAATGAGCACTATACAATTGAGGGAACTTGTGGAGTGCTGCACAGCAATATCAGGTAGTTTCCCATTTTCTAACCTTTACCCCAGCCTCACAGCAGTCTAGAATGTGAACCTGGAGAATTGGCATTTGTCCATACTCCCCTAAATGATCCGGCAAAAGAAATACGGATCGCCACAATCTACCCATCAGCAAGCATCGACAGCCCAGTCCTATGCGGACTGTCGACTTTCACGCTATCAACAGCGCCAGATTATGAAGCCCTTTCTTATTGTTGGGGCGATGAGAACGACTCACGACCTATTTTCTTGAGAGGAAGGCCGTATCGCGTTACGACTAATCTCTTTTCCGCGCTTCGACAACTCCGCCGTGCTGAAACAGAAAGAAGAATCTGGATAGACTCCATCTGTATCAACCAGAGCTCTCACCACGAAAAGAACCACCAGATACCGTTAATGGGAGACATCTATAAACGAGCGAAGCAAGTGGTCGCATGGCTTGGCGACTCAGATGAAGAAACGCGCATTGCTCTGGACCTTCTCACAGATTGGACCGCAACGACGAAGCGCTTATCAGATTACAGGCCACCTGTCGAAGAGGTTAGAGGTAAATTGGACCACCTCGTCAACCCAAAGAGCTGGGATGCTCTTTGTAATCTCCTTGAACGACCGTACTGGACCAGGTTATGGGCTTTACAAGAGTGCGTTCTTGCTACCAAGCTAGTGTTCCAATGCGGAAAAGAGCTCATTGAACATTCGCTGCTGGTAGACTTTCTTCTCGCTGAGACTCTTGTCAAAGAACCGTGGTTTTGGAAATACGTTACTGCGGAGCAGATGGCAATGAAGCGAAATCTGAGGCCCATGGCCATCGATACGTTCGTCATACTCCCCCTCATCAGGAACAACCAAGAAAATTTCCGCTACCCAAACATTCTCCAAACCACGACCGGTTTGAATTGCAGAGATCCGCGAGACAAGCTCTACGCCATACTCGGTCTGGCAGCACTCGACCCATTGTCAAAACAGGTGCCATTGGAGCCAGATTATAGCAAGAGTGTTGCTACCATATATTCCGACTTTGCTCGTACGTTCATGCTCACAACCAAAACTTTAGATCTATTTCAGTTGGCCGGACTCAACAATCACGGACCGGAGTTGAAAGGAGAACTTCCATCATGGGCCCCAGACCTCACCTGTGTGTCCTATGGCAGCCTCGTTGAATCTTTTAATCCGACCGAATTTCCCAAGGTCAAAGATATCAGCTTTGACAAACCCGGAGAGCTCCGCACTTCCGGACTAATTTGCGACATTGTGGTAAAGTCAGATGAGGTTTCCTACCTGGTGGATAGCTATAGGGCGTGTTTACTGCGAATCTACGAAACCTTCGCACAGGCTGGAACACACCCGACGGGACTACCATGGCGACAGGTTCTATTTCGAACCCTTATCATGGCGAGCAACAGCGCAAGCAGTCAACCCAGCTTCAAACCCATCTTCACAAAGGAAAACATTGCCCTTGAAGCCATTGGGTTCATTGTATGGATGGGGAAAGCGTTCGTGAAAAGAAACACCGGAATTGATTCCGTCTCGCAATATGACAAGAACACCTACGTCGACTGGTTTTATCTCTGGGCGCATGGCCAGGAAGCCTTCGCAACGGCCACCGAGCAGCAGAAAATGGATGCGTTTCTGCACGATTTCTGCGCGTCGCGCGATGCCGTATTGGAGATCAGGAACGCATACAGAGCTTCCTCACATAGCTTGGACGAGCTGGAGAGCGCATTCTTCCACAGTAGCCATATTGAGGACCTACCGGGAATCTTTACGACCGAGAAGGGGTACTACGGCATTTGCAGAAGGAAAGTTAAACCTGGCGACCGGATCTGTGTCCTTCCAGGATGCCGAACACCCTTGATTGTGCGTCGCAAGGAGCACTACTATCGTCGCTGGGAGCGCTACTATCGTCGCAGGAAGCACTACTATGTGCTAGTGGATTACGCTTACATATACGGAATGATGAATGGAGAGATGATGAAGAAGGTCCGGGACGGAGCAGCGGGGTTTGAACAAATGGTCTTCAGGTAGTAACTTATCACAATCCGATACAACAGGCGTCGGGAGATCCTTCATGGTCTTACTCTGAATTGTCTGAAGTTGAGCAGAGCCTTGCGGATATTCTTGCTCGACCCCGACTGCTCGAGGGGCGGCCACGGGGGAGCGGCCAACGCCGACCTGGGCCTGGAGCGCATACGCCCGCCGTGGAGACTTTCCTCTAGGCCAGAATATTGATAGATCTCCGTAAGGATTATCATTGCAATCACCAGCCAGTGGCGAACGCCTGGATGTTATTTCCCGCCGACTCCAGGAGGCCCACCTCAAAAACAATCAGTTCGAATACTATATGTGCAACATTACTGTATGCTGTATTGTGATATGCGTGTGTTCCCTTGCGGACTCTCCCGTCATGGCTTCAAATGCATGCGTAAACTAGGCGTGCAACACTCGTCTATCATAATATCCATCCCATGAAACTCCCCCATCTATACCCAAATGCCAAAATCCAAAACCTAAGTGGTATAAACAAATCTTGGGCTATCGTCGCCCAACTCCGCAATCTCCTCCTCGCTCATCCCCTCAATCTTGCCGCCTTCATCCCCTCTGGCTCTCCGCGCATTCACCCGTGCAAAGTATATCCACATGACGATATACACGGCGCAGGCATATGCGACCATGGCGAGCGTGACGGCGTGTCCGCGGATGAAGCGTGGACCTTCCTGTTTAGGATAGAGCTTGGTGATGGTTAGCAATCCGTCTCTTTGAATGAATATACTACCTGACGCGTGGAGCACTTACAAAACTACTCATTATCCCAGCGCAGTTCCCAATACTCAACTGCAACCCGGTCGCCATAGTCCTCTTCCCGTACCGCGGACAATTGGTCGGCAGCCATGCCAGCGGCAGACCCACGCACACGTACAGTCCCATGGCTACCAGAAAGCATCCAGCGTAGTGGACTCCAGGGCTCGAGTCGCTCAGCAGCATTGCGTAGCCGACGATACTCACGCCGCCGAGCAGCACTGTATACAAGCCTCTCCGCTGCTGCTTATCCGAGATCTTCGCGACGATGAGGTAGGTCACCGCGCCGAGAGCGTAGCAAGGGATGGTGAGGACCTGCACCATAGGGTTGGACGCATGGGGATTGATGGCGCGGATAATGGTGGGCAAGAAAGTCGAAAAGCCATACAACATGGTGTCGGAGCCAAACTGCGCGAAAGCAAAAGCCCACACCTTCCAGTCCTTGACACATCTTTCGACGTCTTTCCAATGAAAGGCGGCAGCTCGGGCGGTATATCCCGTCTGTCGGGTGAGACGCTGAGTTGCGATTCTCTTCTCGCGCTCGTTGAGGAAGTAGGCGCTCCCGGGGCTGTTGGGTAGGATCCACCAGGCCGCAACACCGAGCACGACGGTGGGTAGGCCCTCGATGATCATGATCCAGCGCCATCCATTCTGCCCCGCAACGCCGTCCATATGGCCGATCGCAAAGGCTAGAAGGCCACCGCACGCGCCGGCCAGGGCTGCAGAAACGAAGAGGTACCCTATACGCAGGGCCAGTTCCCGCTTGGTGTAGAAGAACGTGAGATAGATTGCCATCCCGGGGAAAAGACCACCTTCGACGGCGCCTAGGAATAGGCGGCACACAATGAGACCGGCATAGTTCTTGACAATGCCGGTCAGTGTAGCGATGATGCCCCAAGCAACGGTGATGAAGGCGATCCAGCGGGAGGGAGTAAACTTCTTGAGGACCAGGTTCGAGGGAACTTCAGAGAGAATATAGGTGACGAAAAGGATAGAGACTGCGGTTTGAAACTGTGTGGAGCTAAGGCCAAGGTCCGTTTCTAGACCATAGAGGCGTGCATTACCGATATTGACTCTGGGGAGATGTTAGATTCGATGACATGGACCGAACAGTTTGAGGATGAGTCTTTTCCAATAGCTGTACCCTTCCAATAACTCTTTCGAAATCTTAGTAACCGACATAATAAAGTTGCCACACGGTGATGAAGTCAACGGTTTACCATCCCATGATAGCACCCGTTACCCGCCACAGCAGCAGTCACCCTCTGTCTTCAGTTGCGAGGACAACACAGGAGAAATGGTGAACTGACCTGTCCAAGAAGCTCAAAAGATAGAGAAGCATCACCACAGGAATGATGCACAGATCCAACTTTCGCACCAACTTCCGCTCAGCAACAACATCCACCTCCTCCAATTCGCCTAACAGAGAATCATCGGTTACCTCTACCTTGGGCGGTGCCAGCCCTTCCTGCTTCTCGGGATCGTTCATCTTGTCGAATGTGTGATGGCGACGATGATTCGAGGGTCGGCTTGTGGCCTTATAATTGCCCCCCTCCGAATTATTTTTTCTTCGGAGATAGAGAATAGCGCCGGATGATATACGTTTGCGCAACCGTTAGAAGCGGGACAAAAATCTGTAACCGATTATGAGGACCGCACTACTAGAAGTAGAAGTGCAGGCTGGTTATCGACGCGACATGGTCGAAGATATGTTAGCTGGATTGCCTTTTATTAATAGAAGGCTCCAATCTTCAGGCCGAGAGGTCATAGTCAGGTCGGGCCGGTGGGGCAAACCTTTTGCACCCCTGGTTCCTGGAGCGTCTTCCGCTAGCCTCGATTCGTTCCAATAGCTAGGATAGATGGATAGTGGCGATTTGACGGAAGATTTAGGGCTGAAAGGAATCAGCAGGATAACAATCCCCGATGCAGACCGCCATAATTTCGAAGGCGAAGCTGACCCAACGTTGCCAGCTACTTTCTCTTAGCGTATGAAGAATGTAAACAGAATGAAGAGGCAAACTCCATGTTATAGCTGGGACATCTGATATGAACACTAGTTCGCCGAGAATCGGGTCACCTTGCCCATGGTTCGACCAGTGTGGATTCTTGCCCGAAAGCTGCTTTTCGCGTTAATGTCGTACAATTCGATCCTTTTCAGACGTATTGGTTCCCGGCCGCACTGGTCCCATCAGGATCAGGAACTCTAGGCGTCGTCGGAGGCCGGCTCTTGCATTCTATCCGCATCTTCATGCGAAAAAAAAGCAAAGGAATAGTGCTAGACTTTAGTAAGAAAGGGCAATGTTACGTCATGTTTGCGGTTTTGAAGCCCCTTAGATTGGCCCTTCCGGTACTATATCTTGACCAACGCGGTGCACGCAGAGACTTGCAAGATTGGGACATGTTTGACAGTGGTTGATGTTGGAAAGTGTTCGGTTTTGGGAGGTTTACTGTAGTATCTACACAGGCTGGGCTTATATGCCCGAGGCGCTAGCCTAGACAGGAATCGCTATGCCTAACCACATCTCTCTTGAGGAACCCCATGTTATCTGCAACTCAGACTTCCAGGCTCTCACCAGCCTCCTTCTCATCCTCTTTGCCCTTCGGCACTATTTTGAGGGAGAAGTCGACGTGCTTCACCCCTTGGTGGATACTGCTCGTACTCACAATATCCACATCATCGCACACATACGCCTCGACATTCTCCTCCGTCAAGCCTCCACTGACCTCGACCAAGAAGTTCTTTCTCTCGCCTTGCCCTCTGCCCCACTTATCTTTTAGTTGTGCAGCGGCGACCTTGACCCCATCTGCCGTGAAGTTGTCCAGCATGACAATATCGGCGCCCGCAGCAATTGCTTCGTCCGCCTCCTCGAAACTCTGGCACTCTACTTCCACCTTGATGGCGAAGCCGCCTGCTGATTTGGCCGCTCGCACGGCATTCGTTATGCTTCCCGCAGCCACTATGTGGTTGTCTTTGAGCATCGTCATCGACGAAAGGTCTACACGGTGGGCGTCCACACCGCCAACGAGCATGCCGTACTTCTCCACGAGACGGTACCCTGGAGTGGTCTTTCGTGTTCCGGCAAGAATGTTCTTATATCTTGCTTTCCGCAGTAAAGCAAGAAGTCGCGAGGATCTATTCCGATCAGCGCTCGTCAAATGACCATTTCACTGGGGTTTTCGGACTTGGTGGCTATCCCTGAGCATCGTGCGAGCGTATTGAGCGCCACTCTCTCACCCAGGAGGAGTTTCCGCACGGGACCCCGCACTGTTGCGCAGTGCTTGACGGGGGTGAAAGCCTCGCCCTCTTTTATATGCCACTCAACACTGTCAGACATCAGTATGCTTGCCGCCGATGTCCTCCTCAGATGACTCACGTGCAATCCAATTGCCGGAACACCTCATTGAAAAAGGGTACACCCGCTACAATTCCCTACATCCCTATGAGCACGCTTTCCGGTAGAATCAACGATGCAACCTACCTCGCTCTTCCCCAAAAGCCTGGCTTCGGCGATCTCCTCTCCGACCACGAAGCCCCCGTAGTCGAAGCTGGGGGTATCCTCCTCAAGCCATTCCGCCACTAGCCTCTTGTACGTCTGGGGAAGCAGATGTGCGACTGTACCGTATGCGGGGGCACCTTCGACCATGACGACGGAATCGATTGAGAAATTCGGTCTTCTGTTCAAGGAAATACAAAGATCAAGCATGCCGCACAGGTACTAGGAAAGTTGACGGAGGTCTAAGGGTGCGGGGCCCTCGGCCCACTCTTATCGATAACGAAACACTCCTATCGATAACGATGGTGGGATGTCCAGGGTGCCTCATCCCCATATACCCTGTGCTTCAGAAAATGCACGTTCGTATTCGCGATGCTTGGAAGCTCTATTCCTGTCGGCTGTAGAAGTGCGGCAGGCTCCAGTGCGGAGCAACTGAAGATGTCACGAAGCATGCAGGAAAACAGCGATCTGTTCCAAATCGGCCCGTGTACCCCATCTGTTCTCTGTTACACAGGTATTCGTTGGTATCGTCCTTGACACTTACATTGTATAGACTACAGATAGCTTTGAGAAGCACCGGGGACCAGCACTCATCAAGCACTAAAACCTCGAGCCTTTCTGCTCACACCCGTGGAGGCGGTGCCATGTTCTCAAGAGGAGATAGTGACGACATGAGAGATACCATGCAATATAGGTGGAGATGGATACGTCAATAATGATCTGCTATGTACGCAATGCAGGCCTGTTGTTCTGTATACCAGAGTGAGCTCAAAGGAAGCTACTCGGAATTATGGATTATGTGAGTACGTATACGCTCCTATGTTTAGCCTTTGATCTCCGGCAAGTACCAGATATCCTATGATGAAACCATTGGCCCTGTCTCTCATATTGAGACTTTCAGAAGTTGTGGGTTGGGTCACGGCCCTTTGCCCTCGCCTTGCTCGTCGCCCTATCCGGGAGGGTTTAGGTGACACTGCCTCATGAGCAAGGGAAGCTGTCTCTTCGTCCGGCAGTGGGCACCCACGGGTCCACACAACCTCTCCGCAGTGTCCCTGCCCTTGACGGCCGCGAAATGACGACAGCTTCGGCAGCCCGTTCCGCTGTGTTCTCGGGAATTTCCTCCTCCCACCACATGTAGTTGCAGTGCTGGCAGCCAGACAGATGTGCGGCGTGATCCACATGCGGGTTGCGAGGGCACAGAATGATTCTTGAGTAGGGCTCAGCAACCCAGAATCTTGTACCTTTCGGGAAAGATAGATGGTGAACCGTTCCTCGACCTTCATCTCAACCAGGGTCCGATCGCGGTGTCGCATCTGTCTCCGTGCGAGGTCTCTTCGGGGGACTTTGGCTTGGTGAAACACAATCTGATGTGCCGGCACGCTTCGATTTCCATACAGGTCTGCCCTCTTCATCGAGTTCATCCGGTAGTCGTTTTAGGTACTGCACGCGTCGGTCCCATTCCTGCGGCTTCTGGTACGGACTGCGGAGCCATGAGCTCAGTTCATGAAGAAACAGCCTCGCATTCTGCCGTCCCAGCACTTCCTGCAGCATATCTTCCGCCCTCCCATCGCTGGCTTTGATATCCATCTTCTTCAAGATTGCAACAATGTAAGTGATAAGGAACTCGGCGTGGCTGCTGGTAGTTGCCCCCTCGACAGACGTGCTATCAGAAGGCCCGGAATAGAGAAAGCTGAACACGCGGAGTTCGCGACGGATCCACATACGCGCTCGAGACTGGAGCTCCGGCGAGGCGGCGAACTCTTCCGGGGTGAAGTTTCGGTAACCTGATAGGGAATTCGAGCCTACGTGAAGGGAGTACAGTTGGTGGCGGTATATATGGCGGCGTCTCAGAACGGCTACGTCTCTGCTTGGTGGGGAGAACGGGCGCCGGTGGATGTGGCGGCGCCGATGTACCTGAGACTGGCTGTCGAAGGCATGGTTGCTTTCCGGAGGGACCGGAGGTAGGCGGGCGGGGAGGACCTCGTATATTCTGAGCTCCCGAGAGGAGCTACATTGGTAGGTGACGGCGGTAACCTCTGTCTTGCCTACTAAGGTTAACACTGGACTGTTATACAATGACTAGGGAAGCACGTACACAACGGGCATGCTGAGCGTTGTTGAAGCCAAAGTTTCAGGCATCGGAAGTCGAAGGCGTCATGTCCGCACGAAGCAACAGCTCGCTCAGTTACAGAGGAGAGACAGATGACGCATGTGTCGGTTGTTTCTACCTCACTCGAACTGGTGTTCGCCTCCATGCATGGGTGATGAGGACGGTGGGTAACAAAGTTGAAGAGAGATCGAAGCCAGTCCATCTCGGAGGTGATGCGGCGAAACGCACAGACTACCCAAACGTTCACCAGCTAGCGCCCCAGTACCCTGGGTTCGTCATTCTCCCACCTGCATAAAAATCGAGGACTTTCCACTCCGCAACTTATTCGCGGCGACCCGCCTTGCTCTCCCCCCGCAACCCTCGTCTCCCATTGACTCCACGCGCGTTGATGCTCCCTGTGCTTCGAGTGGCAAGGCCTTCTCTACTTACGAAACGTCGCCCTCCTCTCCCACTCGCAGCTCCCCCGGCAACCATGACCTCCGCATATTCGGCTGTGTCAACACAGCCGTCAGCGAAACCAGCAGCATGCCACACAATTACTGCTCTGAAGAGGTGGCGGTGCAATCCGGAAGACAAGGACCTGCCGCCGGTATCCGAGGTGAAGGCGATACATGTCTACGATTTTGACAATACATGTAAGAAAACAGTCGACCGCTTTGTAATTGTACGAATTACTGATATTCAAAGTATTCGCGAGTCCCCTTCCCAACAAGGCGATATGGGCCGGCCCCACTCTCGGTCAGCTTGCCGCACCCGACGCGTTCCTCGACGGCGGGTGGTGGCATGACAAGACGATTCTAGCAGCCACAGGAGAGGGTGTAGAGAAGGAAGAAGCTCGAGCGTGGAATGGGTGGTGGAACGAACATGTCGTGTCACTGGTGGAGTTGACAATGCAGCAGAAGGATGCGCTATGTGTGCTCCTTACTGGCCGGTCAGAGGCAGGCTTCTCCGACTTGATCAAGCGCATTGTCAGGAGCCGGAATCTTGAATTTCATATGATCTGTCTGAAACCGACGACTGGCCCTTCCGGGCAGAAGTTCAAGTCGACCATGGAATTCAAGCAGGCGATTCTCAAGGAGATGGTCTACACGTACAAAGATGCAGAGGAGATTCGAATATACGAGGATAGACCGAAACAGTAAGTCCGCAAATATAAGCCTGCGGTAGGGATCAGCATGCTCACCATTAGCAGCACGAAAGGATTTCGCGATTTCTTCTTCGACTTCAACAGAGACCTCATGGCGAACCGGCTTCCCACGTCACGACAACCCATCAAAGCGGAAGTTGTACAGGTCACCGAGAACTCCACCCAGCTCGATCCCGTCACGGAAGTTGCAGAAGTACAGCGGATGTGCAATGCACACAACCTTGCGATCAAGGCAGGAACCGCGGCACCGGGAGCCGTTCCGTACGAGATCAAGAAGACCGTCTTCTACACGGGATATATGATTCCGCCCGCTATGAGCGAGAAGTTGATGACGCTAGTAAAAGCACAGGCGGGCAACGCGAAGGATGACATCAAACAGCTCGCCAATACCATCTTGATCACACCCAAACCTTGCCCCAAGAGCATCCTGGACAAAGTTGGAGGTATAGGTGCCAAGGTTATGTGGAAGGTGACTGGCGTCTCCTGCTTTGAGAATAAGATCTGGGCAGCAAGAGTAGAGCCAGTCCCAAAGTCAACGAAGATCTACTCCGAGAATCCGACACCGACGGTTGTGTTGGCGATACGCAGAGGGGGACGACCGGCCGACGCAGCGCGGATTTCGAACTGGCAGCCCGTTCCGGATGATCAGGCCTACATGTTCGAGACGACGGTCGAGGAGAAGGCGATGCTGCGGATTGAGGAGGAGAGGGAGGAGGGATGGGACCGTGTCCCCAGGAAGGGATGGGCTCATCATAAGCGGGATCGCTCCGACGAACGAGATGCCAATCCCGGCCATGCAAAGGAGGGACGGTCGAATTTCTCGCGCCCGGCGAACGGGTTCCATGGGCGAGGAGGTGGTAGTCGTGGCCGCGGCGGTAACCGAAACATATCTGCGCCTCGGGGACGCGGTGCTGGAGGTTACGGCGGGCGTGGTGGTGGTGGGCCCAAAGGCGGGCGAGGTCGTGGAGAACGGGGACTGGGGCAGTATAGGAGTTTGGACGACGTGGGAAGCCGGCCGGATCATGCAGATGATGCGCACAGCTACTACTAGGAGGAGCAGACGAGGTCGTCAGCGCCTCGGAATGTCGCAGAGGTGCGAGAATCATGACTCTTTGTTGTGCTGCTGCTCAACAGGGGGTTTGTAACTTCTGGATTATGTTTTCATGAGCGATAATCGCTAATAGATACCCCGACTCGCCATGAGTGTTTTCTACTTTCTCTGCACTGTCAATGGCACAATGATGTTTCGGTCATCCTCCACTAGTTTGAACAAAGATTCTGGGTTTTCTGAAGTCACGAAGGATCACAACGTGACTGAAACAGCGTCGCTCCAACCTAAGAATGGCTTTGCAGCTAGTAGTTAGGAGGTGATAATTGTTATGCTGCTAACGCTGTTATATTATAGGTAGGAGTATATAAGCCTGTCCAAGCATGTCAATATATTCAATTATGCCTAATATGAAATCAAGTCAGCTATTTGTTAACACAGTGCCGCATTTGTGCAACGTACTCGAAGGTGATGGTGAAGGTGAAGGTGCGGAATATCCACCATTCCTTAACAAGGATAGCGTCCGTTTCTCAGCTGCAGGGACCCACAACCCTGCCGCTCTCCGCGTGCCTGGACGCGTCTGCGCCTATCGCCGAGCTTATCGCCTCCCAACACCAGCTGATGCAACCTTGGAACGGACGGTCCTGCTCCAAGCCGGTAGAGATACAAGAGACTGTCATACCTCAAACAGTACAGCTAGAGGTCGCTCTGGCAGCGTTCCACAGCGTACTACTCTGTACTTCAGTCCCCAACGAGCAAGACACCATGCCTCTCCTCCCACCATCGCTCCCCTCGCTCCGCTCCCTCTCCACCTTGGCCCTCAGCAGCACCGCCTTCCTCTCGCGCACCCCCGAGCAGCACATCTTCCGCGACTCCTCCCCCCAGATCCCCTTCGGAAACGCACAGGAAAGTCCCCTCACAGGCCAACAACCCGTTGGCGCCACACAAGCATGTCCCCACCCGCAACTCAGCTGCCACAACACGACGGTCGTGGAGAATCTATGCTGCTTCAACTACCCGGGGGGCCAGATGCTGCAGACGCAGTTCTGGGATACGCATCCGCCGACGGGGCCCGAGGATAGCTGGACAATCCACGGGCTGTGGTGAGTTCTACCATACACGCTTCATTAACCCCGCTCGTCATAAGATACTGAGGAGCAATGAATGAATGAATGAAAACAGGCCCGACCGCTGCGACGGCACCTACGAAGCCAACTGCGACCCTTCCCGCACCTACACCAACATCACCTCGATCCTCACCTCGTTCAACCGCAGCACGCTCCTCGCCCAAATGTCGACGTTCTGGAAAGACAACCGCGGCAACGACGCCACGCTCTGGCAGCACGAGTGGAGCAAACACGGCACCTGCATCTCGACGCTCGAACCCCACTGCTACCTCCCGCAAGCCTCGTACACGCCGACGCAGGAAGTCGTCGATTACTTCTCCAAAGCCGTCGAATTGTTCACCGCGCTCCCCAGTTTCACCTGGTTGGCCGAGGCGGGCATCACGCCCTCGCATACACAGACGTATACGTTTGCGCAGATCCAGGAGGCGCTGGGACGGAAGAGGGGTGGCGTGCGGGTGACGCTGGGGTGTAAGAACGGGGCATTGAATGAGATTTGGTACCATTTCAATATGCGGGGTTCCGTGCAGGAGGGCGAGTTTGTCCCCGCGGAACCGGATGGGACCAAGTCTAGTTGTCCGAGGGTGGGGATACGGTATCTTCCCAAGGCGAAGACGGGAGGAGGTGGTGGCGGAGGTGGAGGAGGAGGTGGAGATGGCAAACCCTTCCAGGGTAAAGGCAATCTGAGAGTCTACGTCGAGGGCGAACCGCACGGCTGTCTCATTTCGCGCGGCGAGTGGTATGCAAGCGGTACTTGTGCGGTGTTCACAGCAGAGGCTTTACCTACCTCTTCTTCGCAGTCGTCCTCTTCCGAGTCGTCGTCGTCCGCTTTCACCCTCAGCACCTCCAAGGGCCCCTGCGGCATCCACGCCGGTGCCCTGGTCTGCGGGCGCAACGTCATCAAGGCGCCTACGGGCTTCACGCACTCGGAAGAGGGCGAGTTGGCCGTGGGCGGGAGCACAAAGTTTAGTGCCGACAAGATAGCTCGGGGGTGGGGGAAGGTGAGGGTTTGGGCGGGCGGGGAGCATAGGGAGGGGGTGAGGGTGAGGTGGGAGGGGGTTTAGTTAGACAGGAAAGATGGGTTTGGAGAGCTCGAGGGAGTATTGGGATGGTGATATGTGGTGGGGAAGGGATATTTAGAGTGGCTTGTATACCCGTCGGGAACCGGTTGTGTCCATGTTGGATTACATGGAGAGGATGTGTTCAGATATTTAGAGGCCTTCTAAATAGCGTAGAGTCGACATCGATATATGCTCGAGTATTCAAAATACCTCTCCTCCCCACTATTATCGCCAAACATGGTCGAGGAACTGGACGAGTAGAGAGCACTGCAATCGCTTGACCAAGCACAACGAATGCAAGGAAATCAACGGTCTTTGGAAATAGAATTCGATAAAAAGGGACTGACTGCATACACGCAGGCCAGGCACATCCGCCATCAAAGGAGTGACATGGTACTCAATTCCCCCAACCTCCATATAACCCCCTCCACCCTTAGAAAAATGCCCAGAGAGATGGTTGGTTGCCCGCTCGCTCGCCACTCGCAACATAACGAGACCAGTAGTATCACATCAAACCGATAAACGCCTCTTTTCTCCAAACATATAAACACAAAGTGAAGCAGAGGGAAGGGTGAGTACAGACTTTAGCACCACATGGCTTCTTCTTGCCCTTTCAAAGATTCCAAGATGATGTTTCGAGTCATGTTCCAGTTCCACGCATAAAAGAGCCCATGTAAAAAGTCATCCAGAGGGAGAGCCAAAGCAATCACAACCCGCAGTCTGCGCATATCACTGTGATGATGCCCAAGGTGCTACACTAGCTAAACTCTCTCTCGTCAAGGTTTACCCGGAACGTTACGGGCGATGTTGGGATGGAAGCGACGAGCTGAATCCGTGCCGAAGGGTAGAGAATCGACGTCGCGTCGGACAGTCATCGATACCTCCACTATGCGTTGGTCACCTAATGTCTGAGTTAGCAGCAGAAACACGCATCTCATTTTGATGGAGTGGAGATACCTTCAGAATCCGTCTGGAATAGTCCTCGTTGTCTGCAATACTGCCATTGCTGTATCTCCGGTTCATGAAGTCTGGATCTAGGCGGGAATCCGTCATGGATGCGGCACTGCTGTGACCCTTACCCCCGGAAACGAATGAGTTGACCGCGGCCTGGCGGCGGTGCTCCTCCTCCAACTCGCGTCGTTTCTTCTGGCGGAGGAAATAGAGGACGCCACCAACGATTGCGGCTAACGCTACAACACCAACTACCACACCGGCCGCAATGCCCGCCTTGTTAGGTCCGGAGCTTTTGGGTTGCTCGGTCGGAGTGGCGCTGGCAGTGTTGGGCGGTGCAGAAGTTGGAGGTGGCTGAGTGGTGCTTGTCGAGCTGGACGAGACCTTGTCGGGGTCGAAGTTTTCGATTCTGTTCTTCGTGGTTCCCGATAGCGAGACGAAATATTTGGAAGGCCCACCGCCTGCGACTGTCAGCATACTCTATTGAATGAGGAGTCAATATATGGTGGACATACATTTATTTCTATCGTCTCCCCTGCAGTCGGTATCGCAAGAAGAGTTGTCGACTTGAGCCTTCTTGGGAGGAATCAGGTCTCCGCAATAACACCTTTCGCCATCGGACAGGGCCATGACGGGCTTGTTCAACATGATGCAGATGAGCTGGCAGTTTCCAGGCGACTGGTACAGGTAGGAACCATGGTCTATGAGCGGAACCGAAGTCTCGAAGCATCCGATAGCAGTCATGGCATTCGCCGGCAGTGTGACGGTAGGTGTGGGAATTGACACTACTGATGAAGCTTGCTGTGCAGTAGCGACGGAGAACACGGCAGCGGCCGCGAAGGCGCTGACGATGCTGGCCGAAACCATCATGTGAGGTTTGTGTGTATGTGTGGAAGAAAAAGGGTGCTGATTGTGCCGTCGACGGGATAAGCAGAGCTGGAGCTGCTTAGCGTCAGCGAGCAGATTGCTGAAGTCGACGGCGGCAAGAGGCGTGCAGCACTGGGTCTAAACAGAGGTCAAGACGGGCATGGACGGTCGTCGTGAGGTTGGGGTTGATGGACTCGGGCCGATTGGAGATGGTGTTGTTGCGGGTTCCTGAAAAGGTCGGGGTAGTGGCCGGCCGTTTGTGGGCTCGGCCGATTTGCGATGACGATGAGGTACCGGAGTAGTAGAGGCGTCTACCACAGCACAACGATATCAGGTCCCGGGAAGCTGGTGTCGAAGATGGCCAGCAGAGCAGTCGGTCAACGACGTGTGGCAGCTGGCGAATTCGAAACACGCAGCGGAGGGATGGGAAGGCGGTGGAATGCGGGTGAAACGCGTTTGCGGTGCCCCTTAATCCCCTGGCGATCTGGGCTGGGGGGCGACGAGTGAGAAGGAACGTCTGTATCGGCGGCGGAAGCGAGGGGTAAAAGAGCGGACGGAGGAAAGGCAGCAATAGCGAGCGTGATGGCGACGGTCGACGATGAGAGGGAGAGTGGTTGATGAAGGGAACAGAGACGGGCTGGCTAACGAGTGAGAGAGGTGAAGGACAAGGAAGGACAAGTGGGCCGCTCAGGAGGGCGTTGGTACACAGTAAAATGAGGAATGGCCCGTGCGTAGGTGCATGCCCAAAGCGGTAAGTCCGCAAATCCCGTCAGACCGCGCAGTTCTCATTCTGCCACCTGGGAATTGATGACCACGCGTTGGGCCGGCTATTAATATGGAGGCACAGCAGCGCGGCTTGAGATTGTCACCACCACCAAGAGAAGATGGAAGAAACATTGCCCAGCAGGATACACAGCACATGGTAATAATGGAGAAGAATTATTGCTGTGCAAATAATGCCTCCAGCTGCAGAGGGAAAACGGCCATGGCGGCACAACGCCGCAACCTTCTCGGACAGACAAGGGGCATGGGCGGCCACCACGTTTCACCTTTTTGCCCAGGTGCGCTGCGGATCCACGGGAGGCGCCTCTCCTTCTGGGCATTTCATGGGTTGCGCGGCCTGATGGAGGCCACCGAACTCTACAAGTACTCTGTGGAGAGGAATATATCTTTGTTGGTGTCGACTGCGATCTGGAGCTGTTCCTCTACGGCAAAGGCCCTGACCAACATGCTCACTACTCAACACGCGGCTCCATTCATCAAAAAACCCCGGAAGATAATCCCGAGCTCTCGTCTCGATTACCAATCGAGCCTTTCACTTTCTCACATGTCTCCCTCGGCGTCCGCCGGACGCTTCAATATGAAAGTCACGTGCGCTTGCATTGGCTGCCCAGGCGCGGTTCACTTAACCGTTTCCTTGAAGACGTTGTCAAATCCTCACCTCAAGTCTCCTAAGAACGAGACGTCTTTGCTGTTTCAAACCATCGTCAGTGTACACTCCTCTCGCAGCGATTCAAACATCCTATAGAAGTCGTCGTCGTCAGAAAGCCTCATTAACCCAATCCTCTCGAATGTCCCAACCACGCCACTCTTCCTCCTCAGCACCAGAAATTCTTCCGATAGCCGCCAATTCTTCGGACTAGGCGTAGCGATCCACAAGCAGAATATGCCGTCTCCATCCTGGACACGAGATTCATCATCAACGTCGAATCTATAATTCGGGAAGAATCTCGCTTCGTCTCCTCTGTTGGTCATGTAGTGTTGCCAATAGTTATTCGGCGTGAGTTTGAGAGATATATATCCTGCCATTATCCATCCTCTCAGAATAGCATGCGCACTGGACAGCTCTCCGGTTATGTCGTGTCCAGCTGGAGTACAATCGACGGCGACCACCTCCACGCATGGACTCGTCCCTGGCTCGTCAATATCCACAAGGCTCTGCAGAGTGCCCTTGCTGGTCACTGCCGAATCAACAGATGCCCACGACCAAGTAGGCGCTCTCCACTTCTCCGGCCGTGGTCGAATCCTCTCCTTCTCCGTACCCCCAATGGATATTACATTCCAAAGCAGGTCTTGCACAAAAGAGGATTCCCACAGGCCAGCTAAATATCTATCTCCAGGCCGAATCCCCATGAATTTCTTCGCGATCCCGGAAACTGCCGGCAGCGTGTCTCGGGCATAACTCAGGTTGAGTTTCGTGTAAGCGGAGACCACATCTCGCCAAGCGACCTGCACGCGATAGGGCGAGGCTGTAAAAGCGTCGGGATAGGACGACTTGGGATCGTTGTAGTAGGAAACGAGGTTGCTTTTTGGGGCCCCCAAAAGTGTGTTCTGATTGCATTCGCAGTCTATGCACTCTTTGCATTCCCAGATCAATTCATTGGATGTGAAGTGCAGAAAGCGAGGCGACAGGTAGCGTTCCTGGAAGATCCAAGCTCTTTGGAATAATGGTTGGTCACGGATCCAGTGGTCGAGTGCGCGTCTTGCGTAAACTGTGTATTTTTCTCCGTTTGACGTCTCGCCACGAAGTTCAATGGGACGGTGGGTCGACGAGCCAACTCTGAAGAGTCCCTCTGTGTTGGATGCGGATGCTGTGGCACCGAGAGTCAAGACGGCGTTCTCGTAAACGTTGGCCATGAGACTGGCTTCGTGGCGCCAATCGTCTTCATCATCTTGAATGATGCAGAGGGAGTCGATCCATATGTATCTCAGCTCCAGCTTTCTCGTGAATGTGATTGCCTCTCTATATGTCTTTGGTAGAGAGGTAAATTCAATCTTTTCTAGATTTGCATCGAGGTTCTTCCGAGTGGTTTTGAAAGCCTGGTGCGCAGAAGTCGAGGTGTGATCCCCCCAGCAGTGACTGAGGCAGACGTAGCGGCCACGCATGCCCTTCGTCTCCACAAGCCGTAAGCCAGATCCAACGTCGATGAGTCGTGTCGGGAGAGGCACATCGAGATCAACGCTCCCACATTTTCGGTGGGCCGCACTGCAGCGTCGCAACCATCTTTGGACTTGGACAACAGACAAGTCAGACGCCGAGTCGCCAGGAAGATGACAAGCCGTCCTTATCATTGTTGGGAAAGGGTTAAAGCTGCCTGGCAAAGGTTTGTTAGAACACTCTCCAACATATGCACGTACCCAGCCGGCACCCAGCTGTCAGAGAACATTTACCAGGAAGCACATAGAAGTCACAAGTGTCCCAAGTTCTATTTCCCCACTCGCCTTTATTGGCCAGCTGGCCCCCTGGCCTCCAAAGGAAGCGGTTCTCTCCTCCTTCGACACCCGTAGCTCCCCTGTTCAGATCTGAGAGAGTGTGTATTCCTCGAAGAATCAAGGTGCATAGTTCGCAACCCGCACTCGCGGATCTATAGAGACTCGGCTGTAGCATAACAATTGCATATGCGGGTCCTTTGTCGTCATATCGGCACACGCTGCAAATATTCTCTTTGGGCCTGGGGTCCATGGAAAGCTCGACAAGGGGATGCTATGTACGATAGATGCGACAGTTAACGCTGGCTGCGAATAAAATCGACTGTTAGAGATCATGCCAGGCGACGATTGAAGGAAATCATCGGTGTTGGCGCAAGGCTGGTTCGGCCGCTCAGCCCCAAATACATACTATACTGTGTAACGTTATTACTCTACCTGGGGCCAGAGTTGTGGTTAACATGTTCACATCTATGAACTCCCAACAGATCCCACCCTGCTTCAGGTGCAGTATCGATTGCGGAGGACCAAGCTTGAAGCTGGACTCAAGTTCTGGTTACCCTTCAGGATTGAGGCGTTTTGGTTTCTCACAATGAGATGTGGTTGGAGTCTCCCGAACTGGGCTAAACGCGACGCGACTTCACGTGAGTCCAAACGGCTGTAGCGGGGTATCTATCATCCGCTATGGGGATTTTAGGTCTTAGATCGTGAATGCTCTTGATGTACAAGTGGACTATACACCGTCCTGATTGATTTGTTTTCGAGTAACAACCTTGATCGCGCATCGTCATGTGTTGCAACCTTAGCTGACTAAGCGTCCAATTCGGGACAGCTCCTCAACCACGAGCCGAACGTCTTCACCCAACCTCCATGGACCGCTGACCACGCCGCTTGATGCAACGCCCTCCCATTGCCTGCAGCAAGGCAGTGCAATCGCTCAACTCGCCGCCGCAGCCTCACATCTGGATCCCCGACGAGCTTCTCTTGCGGACTCTGCACCGCTTTTTCCGCGCCGGATGCACGCATCAAAAACGCCATGGCAGCCACGTCCCGGGGCCATTGGAGGCCAGGAGGAGGGCCGTCAAGCGCAAATTGAGTGTGCAAGCCAGCCTTCCACAAGAGGGTTTTGGGGTGCCGTTGTTCGACCTCAAGGCGTTGTTCGGTGCGCGGTCCGGCGGGAACCCGTCTTGGAGATATGAGGCCCCGTCGTTGTCCACGGCTTCAGACCCGCGTGGTATACGTACGTACTTTCCAGATGGGACCTCTGACTCGATACTGAATCAATTACAGCCTTCGACATTAGAAACGTACCCCCAGAGCCGCCTTTCCCGAGCGCAGTCCCTGCCCAAAATCATGACCGGAAAGCATCGGCGCACATGGAGACTATGATGGACTGGGGAAGCCATCCGAGTAAAGAGATGTCAGAAGAGAGAGATGCACAAGATGCCGTGGAGGTTACCGTCAGCCTGGACCTCGAGATTAGGGCCGTCGAGGATCGCCTGCGACTATCCAGCAACGTCGAAAGCTTTCTCGCTCACTTTGATGCCTGGCTGCGATTGGCAGATCAACTCCCGCCTTCAGAGCGACGAAAAGCATTAGTGAGGTGTTGCGGAAAGGGGTATGCCATAGAAGACCAAGGGCCTCTTCTGACATTGCGAATCCTCGAACGGCTCACCCGCAGCCATTGGAGCCCGAGAGACATTGCCCGATGGCTGTCGCAACCCGGGGTCCCTTTACCGTCATTGGGGACTCATGAAGGTACTCGATTGCTGCGGCACCTGCGTGTTCAATTCGACCGCTTGATATTGCCCCAAAGCGACGGCACCTCAAGAGCTGGCGGTGGACACGCAATTGCAACCCTGTATAAGAAGATTGCAACACCGCTCCTTTGCAAGGACGTCCTTGATGCTGATACCTGTCGGCTTCTTTATTGGGCAAGATGGCAAAAGCTCCTCCTTGATCACCGCAATTCTATTGAAGGTTCAGCATTCCAATCCTTGCAGTGGCTCGCGAACTTCCTGTCCAGTACGCGTACCTATAGACGCCAGACCCGCACCTTTCACCAGCAGGTTGTGAACCACCTATCCCGAGTGGTCCAATCTGATTCTCTAAACGTAGCCTCGTCAGGGCAGATTTGGGATCTCGTCCCCACGCAAGCTCTGAAGCTCGTCGATGCCCAAACGAAAGCTGCGATTACCGGAGTCAACTCGGTCTACGCTGGACACGACATCCGCGTCCACCACGCCAACGTTCAATTCCAGGCCATATTGGATCGCGCACGTTCGGCCAACGTCCTCCCGCCGTCCTACTGGAACGAAACCATCGACGCTCCAAGTTACCGCCGCGCGGAAATCATCCACGAACTCGCTCACCGCTACTCCATTAACCACACACGCAGTTCGACGCATAACTGGCGTGCCGTGAAACAACTTCACAGATATCTCGTTTCCTACGATCTCCCTATGAAACCGCTCTTTACGAAGGCCTTGGTAAGGATCTGTCTTGCGGAGGCTATGACGAGGAATAAGTTTGTGAATGGTAAGACGATGGCATGGGTGGTGGAGCAAGTGGCGAAGGTGGAAGGGGCGGATGTGGCGAGGAGCATCGAGTACCAGTTTTGGGTATGGAGGGGTGGGTTGATTGAGAAGGCTAATCGGGTGGCTCGAGGGCTGGTGGGGCGGAATGGGGGCACCAAGGTGCGTGTAAATACGCTCAGAAGATTGGGGCTGCTGCGGTGAATATAGGAAGAGGGCGCATCTCGCGTCTGTGTAAAGCATGGGAGTCATGTTGGGAGAGATATTCAGCGGTTTGCGCGAGCTTTACAGACTTTCCGGCCTGGATGAAATACTAATAGAAACGCCTGCATTGTGCCGCGTTCACAGCTTTCTGGAAGTGCCCTTAGGACATGCGTTGTTGACTTGTCTCCTTGTCCGTACCGTACGATTGAAGACTGCTCCATAAGACTGCATCGCCGTCCGTTTGAAGGCCCCTAAAGTCAACTCACAGCATGTAAACCGCTCTATTCGCGTCACCAGGTATTACCACTTTCTCACCGATATTCCAACCTAACATCATGCATCTCGCATTTGATTAATATTCTCTGCCTCACGGAGCCTCTCAATTAGGCAGGTGAGAAGCAAGGGTTTGAGTGCAGCTGAAGAAAGCGGAGGGTTGAGTCAGCGAGGGTCTGGGTCCAAGGGATTGGAAATAAAGCTCAGAGGGAGATATAATACGGCTCACGAAAGTCCTACTGAAGACAACTTCAGCAAAAAGTAAAACAAGCAAAACGCGTGATTGCGTCCGGAAGTTGAAGAGCTTATTTAACGAAGGGATCGAGAACCAGAGGAGCTGAGAAGCACGCATACATATCTCCGACAGGACAGTCACATCTGGGATCAGGAGGAGGGGAAAACACGTATACGAAGTGAGAGGTCTTTGTATTAAGATACGACTGGAGTTTTGCTAAAACGTCGAGTAGACAGAGATTCCGCCCGCAATTTGCGCCTCCAGAATCCCTCTCAACAACCAGCATGACCACAATGGCTACACCACAACCGGCGCCTACATCTACAATTTCCTCACCTCCACTTCCCAACCCGCTCCTCACACCCCCCGCACCCTCCCACCCCTCTCCCTCTCCCTCCAACATCCCCTCCAACACAGTTCCCTCCCAATGCACCCCCAACCTCAACCCCCTAGACCCCTCCCTCCCCTACCCACCCCCCATCCTGCACACCACCAAACACCGCCTCCCCCTCCGCCCCATGCACCCGCTCGACGCACCCAGCATGGCCATCGCCTGCGCCCCGGCATCCATCACAGAGTACATGTCCCTCGCGTTTGCGCATCCATATACACTGGCGCACGCGGAGCGCTGGATCGAGATGAATCTGCGGGACAAGTTGCCGAATTACGTTTTCACGATTCCCGAGGAGGGTGGGCGGGAGGGAGGGGATGGGGAAGGAAGGGGTGGGGGTGGAGTTGAGGTTGAGGATGAGAAGGAGATGGGGAAGATGAAGAACGCGGAACAGACGGGACGCAAACCAAGCGAGCAACGAGAAGGAGTAGCAGAAGATATCATCGGCGGCATCGGCCTCAAGCGCGGCTCCGACGTCCACGCCCACACGGCCGAACTCGGGTACTGGCTCGCGGAACCGCACTGGCGGAAGGGCTACATGACGGACGTGCTCGCCTCTTTTATTGCTTGGGTCTTCGATTGCGATTCCCCTGCCGCGCAGGAGGAGAAGCGGCGGACCAATGCGGAGGGGATTTCGCGGCTGTGCGCTATGGTGTTCAGCGGGAATGAGGCGAGTATGAATGTGTTGAGGAAGTGTGGGTTTGTGCAGGAGGGCGTGTTGAGGGGGCATGTGTGGAAGAAGGGGAGGGTGATGGATTTGCATGTTTTTGGGTTGGGGAGGGGGGAGTGGTTGGAGAGACAGGGGAGGGAAAGGAGGGAAAGCAAGGTGAAGGGGGAAAGGAAGTAGTGGGCGGGATGTAAAAAGGGCTGGAGACGTGACAGTGACTGGAGATAAACCATGTCCGTCATGCTCTACTCAACTGGGCCATTGGCTTGCTGACGGTGCTTAGTAGGGGTTGGAGCAATGAGCAGGGAGAAGCGGACGAGTCGAACGATATACCTGAAACCGCCTTTATGGAACGGTCTCAATGCAAACTCTGATGATGGTTAGATGTCTTTCCTCTATGCTGCCAAGTCTACTCAGAATATATCCTTCGTTGTCAGCCGAATCCTCATGATGAGATGAAGACACTCGTTCCAGATATCCCCACCATGCCGTCGACGCCATAGCCGTCACCCCAAGACCGTGATTGTTGAATGTCGTTTCTGCGTGGGCAATACAATCGACTCCCTTCACCCCCCTAAATCCACCCAGCCTCTCAGTTAATCAACCTCATAGTCAACTCGACCCTACTCCACATTAGCACCTCAATATCCCCTTATTCCTTACAAAGAACTTACGTCGCAAACGTCCCCGCACTAACCGGCATCGCCCTCAACAGCGTCGGGCCCAACCCCTTCCAAAACCCCCTCACGCCCTCTCCCTTCCACGTCTGCCGAAAACAATCCCTCATACTCTTATACCGCTGCCCTGCCCCAAACCCATCACTCTGCATCTTGCTCTTGACGACATCGAATGGATAACTCGCGATCCAGAGCGCCTCGCCCGCCAGCCCACCGTACAGCGCAACCTTGAGCGTCGAAATGTCCTCGCGCCTGATACGGTTGCGCCGCGCGTCGCTGTTCATCAGAAACTCAAACGTCGTGAACCACACGCCGTACGCCTGGGCTTCGCGCAGCCACGTCACCGCCGTGCCGCGGTACACGCCGCGGAAGACGCCCGCGTGCGAGGCCAGTTTGCGCACGCAGTCGACGGGCCCGTTGTACAGGCGTGCGGCGCCGTGCGGTTGCGTCTGCAGGCGGATGCGGATGTGCTCGATGGGCGAGGAGAGGACTGTGTTGGCGAGACCGGCGAAGGCGCCGGCGGCGTAGTATTGGGCGTAGGAGAGGTGGGCGGGGGCGCCCGAGGCGGTGTTGCGGGCTTCGAAGGCGCGGCGGGCGTAGTGGAAGGCGCCGAATTGGACGGAGACCTGGGGGGTTATTAGTACGAGGAGAGAGATGGAGGGAGGGGTGGGTACGAACGCAGGCGCCGATGCCGACGAGGGGCGTCAATGTGCCTTTGTAGAAGGCCAGGGGGCCTTCGTTTTTGTAGATTTTGGAGGCGGCGTCCAGGGCATTGGAGTACTGGGATGTGGTTTGTAACCGGACTTTGACGATGTCTTGATTACATGTGGTTAGCGGTTGCACGATGATAGGCACAGGTCCAAGAAGAGCCGTTGTCCGGTGGGGTCGAAGTCAAATGACTTACCAAAAGGCTGTCCTGTAGCAGCTGTTAGTCTGGTTCCATAAACATATTTACACTAGAAACGAATCGACACCGTTTCCACCAAAGATCCTAACGTAGCACCCCCGCTCAACTGCCCAACGGCGAGAACCCATCCGCAACATTAGACAATACTACCGTCCCACCTCTCATTTTCCGTCCACACCCCCATACATTAAAGTCTCCCTCCCCTTTACCCTTGACTCGCAAACACAAAACCCAGCAAAAATGAAAAACAAAAAACCCAACTCACCCAGCAAAACCTGCGCCACACCCCCCACCGCCCCAGCAAACAAATCCTTCAACGTCCTCTTCAGCCCCTGCGCCTCGTCCCTGACCTCGACTTCCTCCGCGTACGTCATTTTCCACGAATGCTCTTCCAACTTGAGGGGACAAGCGAATGCGACTCCACTACCCGATGAACGGCAAGATATGCTGTCCGTAGAACCCCTCCAAAAGCTCTCGACAATCGCTATCTCTTTCTCTTCCTCTCCCTCGTTTTCGCCCAAGTGTACACGAGATAAAGGTAATTTGCGTCCTCCAGCAACGACAATAACGCGGTCCGCTACCAGTTCTCCGACCGAATCCCCGGCTTATCAGATCACCCCGCGCTATCTCTTTCCCTTACCAAGTATTTCCCCTGCTTATCTCTTCCCTTCCTTTGCCCTTTCGAGAGAACCTTTTCCCCAAAGAAAAAAGGGTTTTCAGAATAATTGGCAGAGAGTAATAATAAAGTCCTGGAAGAAACAATTGTGCCCTGGAACAAAAGGGGAAAGCATGTCCCCAACCCTTGTCCGTTCCGCGTTGACGTGCTTGATGCCAAGCCCGTCGAAATTCCGACGTTCGGGGAATGTTTGCGGTCTCGGACTCGGCTAGCGGAAGAACCTCTCTGCCAAGCCATGTTCATGGCACGGTACAACATCTTTGGTAGACAGATCTAGATATAGACCTGAAGGAATTCTTCTTCTTCTAAAGGGATGGACATCGAACAGATCGTACATAACCCCCACCATTCCTCCCTGCCTTCCCCACTCCAAATACTATTAACAGTTCAACTGGATATCCATGTCGCCTCGTAGGCCCCATACTCCTCGCTCGAACAAACCCTCTACATACAGGAGAAAACATAGAATAAAAAAGAAAAATATAGGAAAGAGAGAAAACAGGACGCAAACGTATCAAGAATACAAAGAAATCAACATCAGCCTTCCTATCGAAACAAAGACAACCACTTTCGAACAGCAGCTCTGGGCTCTCTGCAACAACTTGTGCTAGTGAACCGCATTCACCAACACCTCAACTTAGCCCAGAAGCCGTTCTTCCCATCTGCATCTCCACCATTCCGCTCCTTGGACCCGTCCTTCTCGTTCAAAGGCGGTAACGCTTCCGTGCGGGACATGCCTTGTGCATCTACGCCCGCGCCTCCACCTGCCGCTTGCCGGCGCACTTCTACCACGCGTCTCACAAGCTCTGCAAAGAGTCAGTACACCTCTCCTTCCGCCTGCGCAACTGCAGCGAACAAACGGAAGAACGAATCAAGAACGCGACACTCACGAGCAAACGTCTCCTCGACATTCACCATCTCCCTCGCGCTCGTCTCCATGAATCCGGCGCCCCTCCTCCTCGCCCACCCCCACCCCTCCTTACTCTCCACCTGCCGTAGACTCTGCAAATCGCACTTGTTCCCCACGACCATCTTCACGGGCTTCACTTTGCCCTGGTCCATCCTCACTTCCTCCTCCATCTCGATCATGTCGGCGTAGTAGTCGAGGGCGGCGAGCGAGTGCGCGTTGGTGATGTCGTAGACGAGCAGGAAGGCGTCGGACGAGAGGTTCGATGAGGCCCAGAGCGAGCGGTATTCTTCCTGCCCGGCTGTGTCGGTCAGCATGAGGAGGTAGGGCGTGCCGTCGATGTGGCGGGTGACGGAGTAGGAGTCTTCGATGGTGGGGTCGTATCTATATGATGGTAGGAGATTGTCAGCGTGGGGTGTTTCTGTATTGCAAGGTTAGAGGAGAGAGAGGACGACTCACTCGTGCGTCCATTGACTTCTCACCAGCCGCAGCGTGATGGACGACTTTCCTGAATAAGTATATCAGCCCGAAACCCTTGTAAACCGGAAAGCGGCAGTTGCGCTATGAGAGTGCCAAACCCACCGCATCCTCCATCCCCACATATCGTAATGGTGATGCGTTGTATATCTCCCATGGCTTCCGTCTTCCCACTTGCGCGATCGTCCACTACGAATGCGTCTCTCCCTGTACCCGTATGCGCGCGCGGACAATGTCCACTCGTTCAGCCGTTCGCTCTTTGCTCGCTCGCTCTGTCGTCCGTAAAATCGCACTCGCACACGTTCTCAACCTCGCCCCCGTTGGTGGGTAGGTAGGTAGGTATGCGCTCGCCGGTCAGATCCTCCGTACACGTCCCCAGTTCCACAATTTGCAACAGTCCTTCGCTCACTTCCAATTCGCGCCCAGTCCGTTTGTCCCGTCTGTGCCCAGTAATATTCTCACCCAAATCAATTCACAACAAACTTCCCTCCTCTTGCGCGTCCCTTCCAAATCTTCCAAATCTTCCAAAATCCAGTCCAATCTCCTCCCAAACCCTCGACTGAACAAGCAGCGCACGAGGTCCTCCAAATCGATAAGTAGATAAATAGCGACTGAGATGTCGAGCGAGCGAGCGACTGCGCGAGGCGAAACGAAAGAAGGAAAAACAGGACTCTCTGTGCGGCACAGCACCAGTGCACAAAGAAAACACGCGAAGAGCGGAGGAAAAAGCAATATCCTAACAATCGAGGCGCGCGCGTGGATTGAGAAAGGGGCGTCGGCGGGGAGGATGGGGCGGAAACGCCAACCGCAACGTTAACCAGCAATGAGCGAGCGAGCGAGGTCTCGGTAGTCTGGTGGTAATAATAAGTGAGTGGTGAAAAGCAGGAGCAGAGACGGTATCAAAAAAGAAAAATCACGGTCTTTTTCTGCCTCGTCGCGCACCCTTGTCCTTTCGGTGTTGCTTGCTCCGTGTTTGTTTGTTTCACGTTTCATGCGCATCCATGGATCCTCCTCCTCCCCCCTTCGCGAACCCTTGGCGGGCTGACCCTCGAGCCGTGGGCGGGAACCAGGGGGGGAAGAGGAGGACCCTGCCGCGCTCCATGCCCCCGCTTTCCCCGGACGGGAATCGGGTACCGTATCGTCGGGTCAGGGCCAGGCTCGGCAGATCACTCACGAGGATTTCCATCGATTATTGCAAATCTCGTCAAGAATAGAAATGATGGACCACATCCCTCCAGGCCTGGAATACCGAGGAGATGGCAAGAAGAGGCTCGCGTGTAAATGCGAACTTGAGAAGAAGCTGTCGAAGGTCCGTTCCTATTCACCCACTAAACGCAGGAAGAAGGTCGATTGTCGAATCCATGTCACCATTTCCTTCATCCATCTATCCTTCCAATATGGATGCGCAGAAACCGGTACATGTACAGCCAATGGAATTGTGCGCCCGACCTCCGTCTAGATAACCGTCGTAGCCATATGAGGACCCGCCCGCCAGTTGATACATCATCCAACCCATATCCCATCTCTCATGGTTATCTGCATTACCTGCACCCATTTATCCAAAACAACACGAACCACGCCGAACAATGCATAGACCCAACAAATCTCTCGAGCCCGACCCCAAAGGATATCAAACACAGCGTTCGCCGTGACAACGAGACACTGAAACCTCCCTTGGACGACATGGAAGAAATGGAGCACAATCTGGGCGGCCCGGAAGAAGTCGACGAAAGAGTAGACCTCCTCCAGGGGAACAGCCCCTGGGGTATCTCCCAACGCGCGCTAACAACAGGCACAACCGATATGGTGCAAGGGTATCGTCTAACAAATAGAATGCAGAAAAGCGCACGAGCGTGAATCAATCAGTCTCTCGTCCCATTAGGGCTCGTCGTCCTCGTCAATCTTGGCCGGTATCCCGCCCGCATACCCTGCCGGCGCATCCGATTCCATGCGGGCAATCTTTGCCGCGTGACTATCCGCGCTCGCCAGAGCGGGCCCTCTCCTTTCACCGGGAACATGCGGGGATGGCGCCGTCGAGGAGGTCAGCGTGGTGCTACTTGCACCTGGAGGCACTATGGGCGATTGGGTATGCCGCGGAGAGACACTGTTCTTGGCCTTGTCACTCGCCGACCGCGACGAGTTTCTAGCTGAGACTCGGCCTATCTGGGCGCACGTTAGCACAACAGTTCAGAGGGAAACCCCGAGCAGGTATCTGTACCTGCTTGGCGTACCGCAAACCGCAAGAATTGCAGAGGTCCCGATTCCCCGACGGACCTCTTCGCCACTCTGGACTCACCGTCGTGTGGCAGTTGGCGCAGTCCTTCTGTGCCGCTCCCTTCCTCCTCTTCCGTTTCTTCTTGGCAGCCAGCAGTCCCTGCACCTGCTCCGCAAGCTGTCTGTTTCGTCTCTCCATCTGTCGCAGCTCAAACTGCCAATTACTGCTCTTCGTCGTCTTCAGCTCGTCGAAGATGTTGTCCTCGGGAGGTCCAGTCGGGAGCCGATTCGGCCCGGGGAACGGCGCTCCCATGGAGAAGCGGGCATCCGATCCATTGCTGAGTGGAGTATTTGCACCCGTACTCAGGTATGCGGATGATCCAACTTGCGCTGGCAGCGAACGTGCAGAGCCCCGGAGGTCGGCCGAGTGCGGTTCCTTGCCCGTGAACATCCCCACCCGTTGGCCCTTGGCGCCCCTCGAATATTTGAGGAGCCGCGTCTGCGCAATCAGGAAGGTGGGCTTCTGTCCCTCAACCGCGTCGCCCGGGTATACGGTCGTGTACGCCTGGAGCGCCTGGCCTTTCCTGTTCATAATCTCGTGCTTCACGCCGCCTGTCCGCCCAGTCCTTGCAGCCTCCAGCATCCGGCCGAAATCCTGCTTCGATTCGGGCCGCATCAGCGCCTGTATGCTTGTACCCACCAGCTCCTCTGGGTGGCGATCGAGAAGCGCTCGGACATTGCCCGACACAAACAGAAACATCCCCGTTGTAGACATCTTGGTCCATAACTCGCTGTCACCTATGCCACCGGCAGCGCGCACGACGGATTTGCTCAGTGTGTATACGGGCCTGCTCCTGCCCACGAGGATGATGAACTTGCGGCCCTTTCCCTGCTCGGCGACGAGTCCTCCGAGGCCTTCGAACCACATGTAGCCGCTCACTTTCCGTCTTAGCCTGAAAACGATGTTGACAAAGGAACCGGCTGTCGCCTCCTTGAGCTCCCGAGTGACAGGAACGATATCGCTGGGGTGGCATACCGACGAGATGCCAGTCAGCGTCAGTTCACCCGGGTCGTACTCGAGCATTCTGCTGCTTGCGGGGTTGAGGTAGAGAAACACCCCCTTGAGGGAGAGCACGAAAACTACATCGCTGGTGTTTTCGACGAGCATCTTTTCCCATATCCGCCTCCGCCCCTCATCAGAGCCAATGGCAGAATGGGATGCCAATATGGCGGCCACGTCTTGCTTGCCCAGGACGTCTTCCTTGGACTGGACATCTTCCTGTGCCGTGCTCATGTTTGTGTCGTGCTGACCAAGGCCTAGCAGGTACCTAGGCATCTCAGGGGGACGTTGATAGCTGACTTTATGCGTTCCGTCTGCGCGAGTTAGCCGCCGGACTGGCTGGTAGGGGAAGGGGATCTGCACATACCGGTGTTCACAGTGATGACAGAGTTGGGTTGCTCCACGAGGTCCACCTGGAAGCCAACAAAGTACCTGACCGGGCCTCCCACTTCCCATGAGATTGGTATCATGGTGAGCAGATTCATGAAAGGTTGGCCGCCTTTTCGGTAGTTGATAAGACTGACCTGCGCTTCACGGAAATTATCGACGGCTTCTCGCAGAGCGCGTACGGACCTGTCATCGCAATACTTCCTCCTGGTGCCCTGTTCGACTTTGCCTTCGGGTGACTGTAAGAAGCGGCAGTTCTGGCCCCTGATCTCGTCCAGATTGTACCCCGTGAGGTTCCCAAAGTTGTCCGAGCAGTATACGATTGGGCAGTCCTCTGCCTGGGCGTCACAGACGACAAAAGCACACGAGAGATCTACCTGTCCAAGGTCGATTTGCGGATTCGGTCTCGTGGCTACCCGCGACAGAATGCCAAGCATGTCGAATCCGGTCTTGGAGTAAGCGTTCTGGAACTGCTGCGTGCTCATGTGCGGGTTGTTGTTCATCGTAGAGGGGAAACCGCCCGGCGGTGCGGTCCAAGGAAGACTCATCTGTGCAAAGTCCGCGACAGGAACATCCTGTGCGGGGGCGATTGGTCGCTCTTGTCCGGATCCGAATGGAGAGACGTGGCCGCTGTGGTCATGGAATCTAGTGGGAGTGATGACCTGGCCATTCGGTTGAGTCTGTTGCCCGCTGTTGGTACCGTTGGGTAATGAGGAGTTTATATCTGCAGTGTTTGGCAGCGATGAATTCGCATACGAGCCCAGAGGCTGCGGGCCTGTAGTTAGTGGAAGTGTAGCAGACCCAGGATCCATGAATTCCTGATCCAATAACGTCGAGTCCATCAGAGGCGTGGTAAGAGACAAGTCTTGAAAAAGGGCGTCATTTTCCATCTGGAGATCCATTGACATGGAGAAGTCAGGCACAAAGGAGGGGTTCGTGCCGATGGATAGGGAGTCGATTGGATATTGCGGGGAGGAGAATGCGGAAGCGGGTGTTTGGAGACTGGCGAGGGGTTGATTCTGGGCCGCGAACTGGGCATTGATGGAGAAGGCCGGGGCGGAGGCGGGTTGGGAGAAGGATGGAGGAGGTTGCATCATGGCGGTCTGGTCGTTGAACGAGAAGGCATCGAGGTTGACGGCGTTGTTGGCATCGCCGCCAAAGTTGAGCAGTGAGAAGCGCCGCGAGTCGGAATTGTCCATGTGCATGGCCATGTTGGCGTAGGCAGGGAGACTCTTCCGGCGGTCGACCTTGTCGCCGTCGTCGGTCGACGATTGCGCTGGGCGGCCTGTTCGCTGTTGTTGCTGTTGTTGTTGAGGCTGCTGTTGCTGGTGCTGCATGCCGCCAAAGCCCATGCCCATGCCCATGGCGGTGTCCGTGTTCGTGTGCATGTCCATGCCCATGTTCGCATTGACGCCATCGAGGCCGGCGGAGGTGGGAGGTAAGTCCGACGACAAGTGGGATGAATTGCTGGGCTGGGGGAACAGCGGCGGCTGCGCGTAGGTAGGGTAGCCATTCATGGCTTGGGGGAGGGGTGAGCGGCCGGCGAAGGCGGCGGCGGGACACCGGACGGAGCGGGGGTGGGTCAGGGGCCAGGGCTCAAGGCTCGACGAGGCGGAGTGGAAGGGCGAGGGACGCGACCATGGGAGAGGGCGTGGCGCCGACGCGGCGAGGACTCCGGAGTATGGCGGGCAGGAGGAGTTGGCGGGGCTCGGAGTTGGCAGCGATGTACCGGCGCCCCAAGATGCGAGGGAGTCGAAGCTGGAGGAGGTGAGTGGGGGGAAGTAGGGTGCGAGATCCGGTGCGTAAGCGTGAGGCTGGCACCTGTTTGGTGCCTTTTGTTGGGCCGAGTGTGGTGGTGCCGAGTGTGGTGATGGGTGACTGCTGGGAGCGACGCACGGGCAGGTACACGTGCAGTCGGGGCGAGGAGCGGCGCCGAGGAGGAGGAATCCGAGGAGGAGGAATCCGAGAAGGAGAAGGAGAAGGAGAAGGAGTCCCAGGAGGGAAAAGAGGAGAAGGAGGAGGAGGAGGAGAAGGGGTTGTTGGAGGGGTGAGCAGTGGTGAAAAGCGATGGGCCGGATAGGAGGGGATTGTCGGATGGACCGGCCGACGGAAAGAAGAAAGATGGAGTGGTGGTGGTGGTGGTGGTGGTGGTGGTGCACAGCGGAGACGAGGGACGTGGGCGCTTGCAGGGCGTGCAGGGCACAAGACCCGTGGTGGGGGGGTTCGGATTCGCCATTTGTATGGGAAAATCAGAAAATCCCATACAACTGCATCGTCCAATAGAATAATTCGAATAATTCGTGGCTTGGCGGCCGAGGTTGTTCATATTGTGCACAAAAAAGGAAGCTCACAATTTTCAGGATTCAGGCCGCGCACCAGCTACCTTTTATATATGGCATTTGTGTAGCTAGCTGATCCTGTGAAGATGATGTATGAGGTGTTGTAAGTATGGTCGCTTTGCCAGGTAGTACCATCTGATAGCATCTGATAGCAACTACAACGTGGAGTCGGCCCGAGCAAAAGGCCGTAGTGAGGTACATACGTAAATAGCAGTGAGGCTGCCATTTTTGAACCTTTGAATAACAAACCCTTGGACCTTGAATCTTCCCCAGCCTACTTGCATGTCTCTGGCAGGCACTGGCTATTTCTCACCCTAGCGTGCACCTCAACCTTTCCCGTCTCCCATTCCAAACACCCGGGGGCTCCTATCTCCACTAACAATGCACAGTGTCTAGTATTTGTTGCAACGCGTCGCGCCCTAGCAATGCACCAGTGCAATAGCTCCCGGTTTTCCGCACCTCTAGTCCGTGGCGGACCCCCAACCCTATTCCCACACCCCCGGTCCGAGAATATGTACCACAATATCATGGCCTTTTGAAGGAGACATGTGGGAAGAAACCAGGCATGGAAAAGGGCCGCCCTTGCCGACTTGGAGCAGATTTACAAGGCTTTGCATCACAACAATAGTTGACTTGTTGGATAACGTTGCTCCCTTCACAAGCTTCGGCGCCGTACTCGACTTCTCTACCGACTCTACTTGTACCTAGCACGTGCCTTGGTAGTGCAGCTGGAGTGTGGGTCCAGCTCAATACGCGTTCGCGACTACAAGAGCGGTACCGGTCCAAAACGACTACTTAATGTCCATGGTTCAACCGCACTAGCAGTGACATGAAGGAACAAGCCTGCCTAGTTTGCATGTCATTTGTAGCAATAGCATCTCTCTATCGCGACAACCACTGCTAGAGTACGTACGGAGTGGACTATTCTTTTGTTTCTGTACCTAGGTAGTACTTGTAAGTGTAGTGGTATGCCAAGGCACGCTCGGACCCTCGCGAAAAAGTTCCCAAGCGACTTCATAGAACATTGAATGGATGCCGCGTCGTGAGGACAGTCGAACCCAAACTAACCATCATGATATTACGGCATCTTGCTGCCCGTAACGGTGTGTGCGCAAATCAACTGACCATGTCCAGACTAACTAGAACCTCGCAGGCCCTCGGGCGCTTGCTCGCTATGCCTCCCAACCACAACCCCTCCGTCGCTTCTACGCATCAGATGTCGATGGCATTGCTGCATCAGCGGACAACACCCTCAAGCAGCTCCACTCGCTCGAAGCGCAGATCAATCAAGCGACCGGGGATCGTGTTCCCTCCCTTAACCCCGAGACCGCGGGAGAGGCAGAGGCCGTGTCCGCCAGCCCACTGTCCATTGTCGAGCAGTACCACCTGCACCAGAAGCAGAAGCAGGTGTCAGGACACCTGGGCTCAGACATAGCCCCTCACTACCAGCCGCACACCCTTCTCACTCACCCCCCTTCCCCTGCCGATGTCACTCTCGAGCTCCTCCTCGCATCTGAAGCACATCAGGGCCATGCAACCTCTCTCTGGAACCCTGCCAATGCGCGGTACATCTACGGCATTCGACAGGGCACCCATATAATTTCACTCGAAGCCACCGCCGCTCATCTGCGGCGAGCCGCCAAGGTCGTTCAGGAGGTGGCGAGAAGGGGCGGCATGATCCTCTTCGTCGGCACTCGCGATGGTCAGGACACAGCCGTTGTGCGGGCTGCCCAACTGGCAAAGGGATACCATCTCTTCGAGAGGTGGATTCCGGGGAGCATCACCAACGGGCAGCAAATTCTCGGCCGGTGCAGGACAAAGGTTGTCAACGAGAAGGACGAGGAGGTCCCCGGGTTCGAAGAACAGCTGTGGGACCGTCCGGTACTGAGGCCCGATCTGGTTGTCTGCATGAACCCCTTGGAGAACTACGTGCTGCTGCACGAGTGTGCTCTGAACAACATTCCTACCATTGGCGTCATCGACACGAATGCGGATCCCACATGGGTCACATATCCCATCCCCGCAAATGACGACAGGTGAGTTTTTTTTTTCTGCCGCACTCAGAAGTGGCACCTGGGCGTGCGCTAACGACCATGCCAGTCTTAGGTGCATCCAAGTCATCGCAGGGGTGCTCGGCCGTGCTGGGGAAGCGGGACAGAAACAAAGGCTGGAAGCTGCTGAGCGCGGCGAGATCACGTACCGACCGGCTCAAGGCCTCCATCTTCCCGAGGTGGAGGAGGCGGCGTCTTCTTCGGCGCATGAAGTAGTTCTGGGAGAAGAGTCGATTGAGGACGCGGACGAGGTGGCAGGCAAGCTCGAGGACCGCGATAATCATGACGGCCGCAAACAGGGGCATCGCATCAGGATATCAGCATAGGCAGTGGGTATTGTACGATAGGCTGACGCCAAGGCGACTCCAAAGATGATGTGTATACTTGGATCTGTTGTATTAGAGCTTGGAAGCATTGACGATGGCACTCCGTATGCCATAGTCATGGGGGACTAGTAGGTATCCTTTTGGGCTACCCGTGGCCGCAATTTCACCTGGGGCAACTTGTTTCCGAATATTTCTTGCTTTACCGTACCGGTCCAGAGTTGCGACAGTAATGCTTGCTTTCCGGTTCGGGAGCGGTCCTTCTCATACCACCGTTCCTATACCTAGGTATACCATATACACCTTACAAATCCCAAACGGGCTAGCGCGATTGTGACAGTATCACGGGGCGTCCCGGACTATCTTCCAAGGTTCAGGGCTCCACCTGCAGCACCGCCTCCAACCACCTGCACCATCACCAACATCATCATACTACTTTGAGGCTCCCGCGTAAGTCTTTGCTCTCTTGTTCGCTCCTTCTTAACGCTCGCAATGCGGGATTTCACGGCTGGCTCGTCCTTTAGCGTTGCTACCTTGTCGATCGGTCCATGTCACATGTCATCACCCTTCACAGTCTGCCTCAGTCCCCCAGGCCCGAATTCTTCGAGTCACACCATTTCTCCACTTCTAGGCTCGTCTCTTTGCTTCATTATTTGTGTGCGCTTATTCATGTTGTTCCTCCAATGCTCAAATCTTCAGACCGGTGCTGGCTGGCTAACTAACTTGTCATGGTGAACAGCTGACGACTATCAGCCCACTACCCATCTGGGTGGGGATCCAATCTATGCAACGCGTCACCCACACTCGTTGAACGCCCTTGAAAGGAAGAGATATCTGGCTGTACTCTGTCTCGGCTTGTAAATCCCTCAGCTTCTCGTCATAGTGTGTATACGGCCATGGAGGCCCATGGCATCACGCCCACCCTGGATAGCCCCCCGCCAAAGCCAACGCTGGACCATTTGCGATATGTCGTGAACAAGTACCCTCTCATTGACAACCATGCACATAACCTGCTTCTGCCATCCCATATCGACACTGTCCCCTTCGAGTCCATCACTTCTGAAGCCCAGGGCCGAGCGCTCCGGGACACGTTCAAATCCCTTCCCCATCTGCGAGCCGCACGTCAGCTCCGTGACCTGTACAAGTGCGCCGAGGACGCGACCTGGGAAGAGGTCCAGGAGCAGAGGCTGCAGTGCTTGAGGAGTAACCCTGATCAGCTCTATGAAGACTGTTTCGCTGGCACCCATGCACTATTGATAGACGACGGCCTCGCAGGACGCGATACCGTCTATGAATATACATGTGAGCTCAGCAGTCGGTCAGTGCAAGCTGTCGATGTAGCTTACTGATTCACCATCAGGGCACGATCGCTGGACCAAGGCGCCGTCAAAGCGCATCGTCCGGATTGAAACCCTAGCTGAGCGCTTGATGGAGAGTCTCATGCAAGAAGCCACTGAATCAGATCTCGACGATCCGGAGTACTTTGCAGAAACCTGGCTCGCATTCACTGAAGACTTTGAGCGCGAGATCCAACACGCCATTCGTGATGACGAGGTCGCAGGCTTCAAAACGGTCATCTGCTACCGAACTGGCCTTGACATCGAGCCCGACTATGTGCGTGCGGCCAAAGCGGTCGGGATCCCTTTTGAGCGATACGTAGCGCGCTGTATCCGTAAACGGAGTTTCAGGCTCCAACGCAAAGCATTGAATGATTACTTGGTCTTGCGGACGCTAGAGATTCTGTCCGAGCGGCTCCCGGAGCCTGGCGGATTCTGCAAGCCGTTGCAATTCCATACTGGGCTGGGCGATAACGATATCAGTCTCCGTGAAGCCAACCCAGCCTATTTGCAGCCGCTGATTGAGAGCTACCCCCATGTGCCGTTTGTACTGTTACACTCCGCTTATCCGTACACGCGACAGGCGGGATATCTCGCCACTGTCTACAAACATGTCTACCTCGACATTGGCGAAGTCTTTCCCATGGTCAGCAAAGATGGTCAGAAGGCAATTCTGCGGCAGTCGCTGGAACTTGTCCCTGGGAGCAAACTATTGTACTCCACCGATGGCCATTGGTTTCCCGAGACCTACTGGCTTGCGAACAAGCAGTTTAGAGAAGTGTGGTTGGAGGTAGGCCATTTTGTGCCTTTGCCTATGCGCTCGCTGACAGACCGCAGCTACTGACAGAATACGTGCAACAAGGGGAGTTGACTCCTCACCAAGGCATCAATCTCACCAAGGACCTCCTCTTCAACAACTCCAACTTCCTCTACAGGCTCGGCTACCAGGCCGACTTCAAAGAAATGGAAGAACCCCCAAAGACTTTGGCCTGGCGCTCCCAAGTCGAATCCCCCATCCAGCCTACGCCACTTCATACTCGCCCGACGTTCCTGGATCCAGGAGTAGGGAAACAGGAGTCTCCAACCTTCCCACCTCCTCCAAAGAAACCTCAGGTCTACGACGTTGAACTTTTTGAAGACTTCATAAAGGCAAATCCAACCACCAAGTTTATCTACGTCCAATGGCTCGACTACATGGCCACCATCCGCGCACGCATACTCCCCATCAAGGAATTCGAACGCATGATACGCGCTGGCGACCGCATCAGTATCTCCCAAGGAAATACGGGAACGCTGCAAAACGACACCTCGACCCCTGTCATGAACCCCGTCGGGCAGATCTACATTGAACCTGACTTGCGGTCCCTGCGACGCACGCATCAGCGGGATCCGCTGCCGTCAGCTACGGTGCTCAGTTTCTGGCGTGATGAACAGGGACGGCCGATGCGGTCGTGCCCGCGGTACAATCTGGAGGTTCTGCTGAACGATTTGAAGTTCAACCACGGTGTCGAGCTCGTCTGTGGATTCGAAATCGAAGTGACCTTCCTCAAGCGCGAAGACTCGGTTCCTAAGCCGTCAAAGGGCAAAAACCCGGCGTCGCCCAGCCAGTCTCTATCTGACGGAGTGAGCGGAGACGACAACGAAGATCATGACCCCTATACTCCTCTAACCGGTACCACGCACGCCTGGGGCACCTTCACCCCCTCCGACTTCCTCTCCCTCCCTCTGCTCGCTGAGATCGCGGACGCCCTCTCCCACACGTCCATCGAGGTTCAGCAATTCCACTCCGAGTCGGGGCCGGCGCAATTCGAATTCGTCCTGTCCCCCTTACCGGCCCTCGCGGCCATCGACGCCTTGATCCAGGCGCGCCAGTTCATTTGCCAGATTGCGGCCCTGCATGATGTGAGGGCTACTTTCCATCCGCAAGTCTGGCCTGGAGAAGCGGGAACGGCGGCACATGTGCACGTCTCTGGTGTCAATGGGGACAAGGAGATGCCGTTCTGGGTGCAAGGCGTCCTTGGGCATCTCCCCGCGCTGTGTGCGTTCAGCATGCCCGAGGCGGAGAGCTATGCGCGCGTGAGGGATGATAGCTGGACGGGGGGCACGTGGGTGGCGTGGGGGACGCAGAATCGGGAGACGCCGCTGAGGAAGGTGCACGAGGGGAGGTGGGAGGTGAGGTGCGTGGATGGGTTTGCGAATGCGTATTTTGTGGTTGCGGGGTTGGTGGCGGCGGGGATTCTGGGGTTGACGGGGAGGGTGGAGGAGGAGTCGAAGGGGATGTCTGAGGAGAGGAGGCAGGATACGGGTGTTGGGGTTGGGATTCTTCCTCCTCCGCCACTGCTGTCTCCTCTCCAGGATCCGGGGTTGCAGGGTGAGGATGGCTCTCAAGCACAAGCACCAGCAGCACCATCTCTTCAAGCGCCCCTTTCTCCCTTCCCACCACCGTCGGCGCCGGAATCCTCACCCCCATACCCCATCGACACCCCCTATCCCCCGAGCACCCTGACCTCGTCCCAACGCCTCTCGTACGGCATCACCCGCCGCCTTCCCTTCTCCATCTCCCAAGCCCTGGCCGCGCTGGAGAGCGATGGCAGCCTGAGGGAGATGATGGACGAGGTTGTGCAACCGTATCTCGCCATGAAGAGGGCCGAGCAGGGCATGTTGGGCGCCATGGGGAAGGGGGAGAGGAGGGTCTGGTTGGTGGAGAGGTATTAGGGGGGTTGGGTCGTAGTCGTGGCTTAAGACGTTGATGGTAATGATAGGGAGGGAGGAAGGGAGGGAGGAAGGGAGGGAGGAAGGGAGGGAGGAAGGGAGGGAGGAAGGGAGGGAGGGCTGGAGTTGGAATGAGTAAACGATATCTCCTCCCTTGTCCAAATGATTCTGCATGTTTAGCCATCTTCCTTTCATCCATCACACGCTTTTGAGACCGACTCTCCTGTTTTCTGGAACAGGATATCCCTTACATCCATCGTCCGCAATCCCTCACAGCATAGGGTAGTACGCAGCAAATAACGAGGTACTCGATTCTCCCTTGCATGTATATCCGAGCTGATCAATTATATACAAGACCGGTACTTCCCGTATAAATACCAACCATCGCCCTCGCCATCTAATCGCTCGCTAAATAGGGATGGGTATATCTATACATACGGCCAAGCTCCTCAACCCTCAGCGAAGTCCATAGACTTGAACTTCCTCTGCATGTACTCCGTACAAAGCCTCAAACTCAAAACAAATCTAAGATCTACAGATGCAAAATACAAATCCCCCCATTGTCCCATTAGAAACGCCTCAAATGCACGGACAAACAGCAACCATATACAGCAACCATATACTACGCCTTACCCATACACACCCATTACCTATTGCGATAACTTGTCAATTCACCCATCAAAACACTGACAATCCGCCACATTGCCCCCAATCCGCCACCCGCTCACCAGCGTCGGACACTTCCACGCCACATGCGCCTTGCTGCACTGGAACAGCAGATTCCACATGCGCTCCAGCACATAGCCAAACGCCGGCTTGTCCATGCTATCCTGCTGCCCCCGCAGAAACTCGGGCTGGTGCGCCCAGCTCTCCGGGTCTACAAGAGCATCGCGCAGCTCCTCGTAAACGGACCTGGGCACACCGCGGATCCGCGACGCCGACACGACGAACTGGCCTTTGTAGCTGAGGAGCACGTCGGAGCACTCGGTCGAGGAGTTTGTGATCTTCGCGTGGACGGCCGGGAACAGGTGCGTATGGTCGTAGAAGCCGAATTGGTCGGCGCAGCTATGGCAATCGCACAGGTTTCCGCTCCAGCCGAGGTTGAGCATACCGGTTCGTCCGGGGATGTAGTAGTTTCGGACCCTGGGGTAGAATTCGCGCGGGTTGTGGACGTCGGCTTGGAGGAAGAAGGTTTGCTGCGCGAGCGAGTCCCACTGCGTGAGGATGTGGTTCAGGTACGTCTCGCCCTCGCGTCCGACGTTGGGGAGTATGGTGACTTTGTTGGCCTTGGTGAGCGTCTTGATGTTGTCGACGTTTGCGTCTTCGTCCTTAACGTAGATCCACACGCGTGCCCCTGACAGACCCTGCATCTTGCGGAGGGTGGTGATTAGTTTCCGGACATCGGCGATGGGTTCCTTGTGCATGCTGATGACAATCTCGTTGGTGACGGGGGAATGGTATCCACGGTCGAGGATCGGTTTCTCTCCTCGCATTCTGGCCATGGTGGGGAACGAGAGGACTGTGTCGGTGAAATTGATACCAAGGAACAACACCCACAGGACCAGCACTGCTATTGCGACTGTCCTTAAGGAGGAGTACCATACTGGCTTCTCGTCACTCATTATAATCTCGATTTCACTGGACCAGTCCGAGTCGTCTGACGACGTTCCGCCTTCACAGTCGACAGGATCGAATCTGAACGAGTTGTCCATCTTTGCGTGCGCCACAGCATTCCGTTCCTGAACGAGGAGGGTTTCCTTGAAAGCTCTTCCGCCGCAACATAGAATCGCCACAACGAACGCAATAACCTGGACATACGTAGTATACGAGCGCCGGATCGTAAAGGACGAGTACAATCCCGCTGCCGCAGTCAAGACGACTATGGTGACAATATCGCGAACACGGGGCTCCGAGCGGTTGATAACGGGCATGCGGTGCTCCGAAGGCAAAGACGGGAGCAGAATCGATCTTCCCATGGCCAGAGCCGTAGAGGTAGCCATGACATTCAGTATCAGAACCAACATATACTTCCAACGGAACACCTCCAACATCATTCCCAGAGTGGTACTGGTGAAGAAAATCAGCCAGAGTCCGGTAACCACGAAGCTGGTGCAGCAAAACACCATATTGAATCTGCGAACGTCGCTTTCCTTCGATGCGATTCTAGCGGCGCTCCTCGAATACATGGCTCTCGCCGTGCCGGTAAGGAGGACGGCGGGGATAGCGGATTCGAGCCCCTTGACCGTGAGCCTATAGTCTCCGGCGAGTATCGCACAACAACCGGGAAGAGAGAGGCCTAGCCATACATAGTCGTGCGGGCGAGACGATGGACTGCCGAGGAGGGAAAGTAACAGCTCAACGAGGCAAGCAACGATCTGTGTCGCGTCAGTGCCTGGGACCGCGAGCTCACTACACAACGTACGGAGAGCATGACGAAAGCCGTTATGTTCGGAAAGTGGAGTATGGCTTGCAAAGTGCTGACAACAGCCAGTGTCATGAGTGCAGCGAGAAACGTCAGATAAGTCCATGATGGTTTCGTCGACGACTGTGACGCGGTTTGATCCCGTCTCCGCCGCGCTCGGTAATTCAATGTGGTGTAGACAGCTAGGGGACTCAGCTGGAGGAGGTGGATATGGACGGGGTAGTTGAGGTGGGCGTTGATGAAGAGGTACTTGGACGTCAAGAGGGACGTTCCGGCGCATAGGGTCCAGAGGAAGCGCGAGCGGCGTGAGGGGTTCCAGAAGGGTGAAAGCGACGTGTATGTGCCATGGCCCGGCTTGAAACTAGGCTCGGGGCCCATTCCGGGGGAAGGGAGACGGAGTGAAGGAGGAGGAGAGACGGTGGGAGGACATCAAGCAAGAACGGTCTTCAAAGCTTGGAGCCTTAGCGCGTAGCTAGTCGGAGAAGGTACGATGATGCGTGGGATGCAGGAGGAAGGAAGGTAGAGGTAGGAAAAGTAACTGCGACGCTCCCGGTCCTTCGGCCTGATAGAGGCATCCAAACGCGCACTGAGTCGGCGGGGCAATAGGTCCTTGGCGGTGAAGGTAGAGGCGTCGTGCCTGACGGAGCGCGAAAAGGGGTCCCAGCAGTAGTAGTGGGGCGCGCCTAGAAAAGGCGATGGATGCAAGCGCATCTTGCGGCTGTGCTGCGGCCTGTGTCCCGAGATTCCCAGATTGGCAGATCCGCCGGGCGTTTTCTTGGTTTCTTACTCAGTCATCGTGGACTTGAAATTGTGTGAGCATGAGAGCGAGAGGTGTGAAATATTACGCTGTCTATGGTTAGCATAACCGGCTATTATTGGCCCCGGATGGCGAGCAAACAATATGCGAAGATGGTTACTGTGGTATAACTCTCAGGGGCTGTTCAGTCCCCATGGTGCGGATAATTACAAGGAGGCGCCTACGGTCCCTATAATAAAGGCGTGCCAAATCACCAATAAGATTCGCTCCACGCTCTGATTTGTACATATCAAGTCTAGCCTACCCGTAATTCAGGAACCCGTCCAATAATGTACTTGTATGACATTGGCCGCACGGAAAATCGAGGGAAGGCAGTCTTAGCGAGCAATGCCAAGCAGACTAGTCAACCATATGGAGTTGTTTGCTTGATCGAGCTGTAATAGAGACACTCGGTGCCGTTCTTGATCCGTGGATGAGTGTTGAACTTCCAGTGCCTGTTGAATGACTCCTGGTCACATGACTTACACGTGAGGGGATTCCCCACGATGCAGTGTTACCCCTTCTCTAAACCTGTCTGCGCTTCGTGAATTGAAGAGAGGACGCTCTTAAGCCCAGAAGTCCTTCAAGCCATCGCTGCTGTACACACCTACGACGGCTCGGGAGCCTCCGTCAGTTCTCACGCCAGCGATCCGCTGGTTAATCTTCCCCACTACGCTCTCTGGCATGCCTACTAGCGCCCGCGAATTGTCCGAGGTTACAACGTGGCCGATGTCATGATCACTCCGTTTAGACCGTACCTGCGATAATATTACTCCGCAAGACACTTGGTCGGCCTCGAGTACGCGTAACTGCTCTTCTACCTCCTTGATAGCTAGCGCCCGCTCTAAACCGCCGTCTTCCTCATCCTCAGGCTCTTCCTGCAGTTCTTGCTTACGCTCCTGGGCTCCCTTTTGTTGCTTTTTAGTGAGATCGAGGTGCTCCCGGATCTTCGTCTCGAGAGTCTGCAGCTGCTTCTGCACATTCTCGCGATCAGCCTCGGACATCTTCTCGGCTCGGAGCTGGATCATCCTTTCGTGAGATCAGTATGCGCTGTCCTAAGTGAGGGAAGGAATGAACCTACAGCTGCGTGCTCGTAACGGCAAAATGCACGGTGGCCTCGCACCATTGCAGCTGCCTCCTGAGCGTACGAAACTTTTCTCTGTTCCACATGCCGACTGAGAGTCGATCTCTGAGAGAGAGTTTCGTGGTGCTAGATCGCCTCGTCCACTTTTGAAGGCTCTTGCTGAACTCATTACAGACATCGCCGCACTTGTTAACCGCTTCGGCGACACCAGCCTTCCTTAGGTCCTCCTTGGCCGCAATAGAAGTAGCTTCGTCCGAGATCCGGAGTTGTTCGAGTGCAGCTAGTGGACGCTCTATGTTGGCCAAGCTGGAAGCAACGTCGGCCACTACGTCTGGAGCTTCGGAAAGACCGTCGATGAGAGTGTGCAGCTGTGCAATGCTTGTCGTGGCGACCCCGGTGATGCCAATAGCACCAGCTGCGATGCTGAAAGGGTCCATGTTGAATCTTTCAGTGTGTAGCGGGTTAGTCTTGTTGACGTCTTCGTAAACACAAAAGATGTAGATAGGAGTGCTTCTTGTATACAGAAGCTTAAGGCAGCGTCTTTTTCTAGTCTTTTGCTCGCACAGCTTTTTAAGTAGTGCACTCTGCTCTGCGCGTTGGAGGCCTCGCCAGCAAGGCTCAGCTGCGGCCGAGAGGTCATGATACGCGCCCGGAGCACACCCAAAGCAGGCAAACGTTATTTGGCATGCCAATAACTAATAACTGGCATGCCAATAAGGTACTATTTTCAAGCCGGCATCGCGCACCTAGAAAGCACCTAAGATACTAGGTTATAAGCGCAAAATAAACGTGCTTAAGGCAGTCTTTCTAACGGTGCTAGGAATCTAGCAGGTTACCGTAGAAAAATAAAGCGAAAGGGGCTCTAAAGGTAAAGAAGTGGGGAACTTTTACTTAGTCCTGCCAAGGTTAGGAAGACTAGCTAATGAACAGGCGTCCGCGCTCTCACGGGAGGCTTATTAGCATGCCAGTTATTAGTTATTGGCATGCCAAATAACGCCTGCCCCCAAAACACTCATGAGCTGCGTGTGGCGGCCGCGGGTGTGGTAGGACAGAGAAGCTCATAGGCTCCGCACAACGACGCTCAGCCTGCTTCTCAGTGCAAACACCGCCGCGTTCATGCACTGCGATGCCTTATTTACGCACGACTCGGGAGTCAGTCCGTTGAACCCTCGAGAAAAACACCTTACCAAGCGTACAACAGCATTTCCAGCAGCGTCGTGCAAAGCTATTAGACCTTGCGGGTAGCCTAGGCCAAATGTCGGAAGGCGTGCCCCACCATCAACACACAAGCGGGGTCTCCACTCAGAACCACTCGCAAGCCTTCGTAGGTTCAGCTAGAGATGTGTACTTTACTGGCTCCAAAAGTCCCCAAGGTACACTGGATAGTCATGTCTCCTAATGCTCGCTGCTAACACGATCGCCCGACAGAAGCCTCAGAACAAGCGGCCAGCGCGTGTCGCAACGCCCTCTTCCTCACCGATCCCCACGTCGACCGCGAGAAGCTGATCAGCGACAAAGGCACGAGAGTCGCGGGCACCTGCGAGTGGATCACACAAAACGAGAGCTACCGGGCCTGGCTGAACGGCGATGGCGGCGGCAGCAACAATGACGGCACGCGCCTGCTGTGGATCTCTGGCGGGCCTGGCAAGGGTAAAACAATGCTGTCCGTCTTCCTGACAGAGGAGCTGGAGAAGCACATGGCTCGCATCGAAGGCGCGGAGCTGTTGTTCTTCTTCTGCGACGCCCAGGACGAAAGGCGCAACACGGCTGTAGCTGTGCTACGCGGACTGGTGCACCAGATCATCACGAAGCGTCCGCGGCTGGTCAAGCACGCGCTGCCGTACTTTGAGACCCCTGAGAAGACGCAGCAGACGCTGTCATCCTTAGAGACGCTGTGGATCATCTTCAGCAAGCTAGTTGCAGATGCCGAGCTCGGGACCATGTTCTGCGTTCTTGACGGGTTGGACGAGTGCGAGGAAAGCAAGCTGATGGTGCTGTTGCGGAAAATCAAAAGCCTGTTTGCCGGCGAAGCTCCATCTTCCAGTCAGGGCATGTTCAAGCTGGCGATCATCAGCCGAGACATATCTGCCCTGCAAAGCTGCACGCGGGTGAGGCTCGATCCTGACAACGACGAGAAGGTTGCTGGCGACATTGAGCTGTTCGTGTCTGCACGGGTAGAGGAGCTTTCATGGATCGAGGGATTCAACGACGACTTTCGATTATCCGTGCAGACGGCTCTCCTCAAACGCGCCGAAGGGACGTTCCTGTGGGTGGGCTTCGCGATGCACGAGCTGTCTCAGAAGCAGACGTGCACTGACATCTGGGAGGCGCTTGAAGATCTGCCGAGCGGCCTTCCAGCAATATACAGCCGCATGGTGCTGCGGATCCCAGCCAACCGGAGAGAAATGAGCTGTGCAATCTTGCGCTGGGTGACGCTGGCTGTTCGCCCTCTGCAGCTGCAAGAACTGGCTGCTGCCGCAGACGTCCGATCCTTTACCCCTCGAACGACTGCAGAGCAAGCGACCCGTGATGCGATCACTCATTGCGGGCCTTTGCTAAAAGTCCGAGAGCAGGAGGTCAGCTTGGTCCATCAGTCAGCGCGAGACTACCTGCTGCGCAAAGAGCACGACAGCAATAGAGTGCTAGAGACGTTTCGACTTGAGTCGGAAAGCGCACACTTACAGCTAGCACGAAAGTGTCTCGATTGCATCGCGCAGAGCGGCTTGCAGTACAGGGCCATTAACCTTAGGGCTGAGCTAGACCCTCGAGAATCTCCGCTATTGCGCTATGCAACGCTCTACTGGCCTGAGCACGCAAAGAGCTGTTCTGCGCTAGCAGCAAAGCTCTTTGACCCTCCTGGGGTTTTCTTCCAGGAGGAGTCTCCTTTGCGCATACACTGGTGGGAGACCTACCATAAGTTGCCTTTGCGCATACACTGGTGGAAGACCTCCAAGTGGAGCTTGAGCCCTCCATCATATCGACATGTCTCATGTGAGCCTCCACCGTTGCTGCATATAGCGTGCGATTTGGAGATTGTACCATGGGTAGAAGCGATATTAGCAAAGAAGAGCTGGAGGTCTAGGCACTTGGATAAGAAGAATGCTAAAGGGGCCACAGCACTGCACTGGGCAGCTTGGGGAGGCAACGAGGCGGTGGTGCGGCTGTTAGTAGACAAAGGAGCAGATGTCAAGGCGAAGGACA